AGCCGGCCAGTAACAACTTTTGTCACCGCACACAACCCTCTACACTCCACCACCAAAGAGATACCTCGTAGTGTTAGAAGCACCTCCAAGCTTCTGTACACCAATGCGGAGGGACTCAGAAATAAGAAGGCAGAAGTGTGACCTCTCTGTTCCCACCTCGCTGTGAAGCTTACAATCCTAACATAAGCTTGGTTGTCATCAGGTATGCGTCCATTCAGAAGAAGCTGACCAGGCCATCAAAGCGGAGTACTTTAGTGCCTCAAACCTCAGCCTTGGGCAGGGGAGGGCAACTTCAGGCCAGAAGTCCAACCGGAATCTTCTCATCACTATCAAGAAAGCTGGACAACGTGAAAATATTAGCCACGACACTCGCTGGCCTTTCTGCTGTAAAAGCTTCGGGGCTGGACTGTCTTCTTACTAGCAACCACTAGGTAGCAGAAGACGTTCAGGTTCTGGCCCCTCTCGGCAGAAACGATCATGGAATGGCGATGTGCGATCCGGTATTCAATAAACAACTATCATGGCGGGGATTTCGCTGTTGTCTTAGCTGCAGCCACGCAAACTACATAGCGACGAGCCAATATCTGCCGGTGGCACGATGAAGTGGGGTAAGTCGTAGAGTAATCAACAGCGGGAACTAGCAAACGAATCATTGAGAGAGCTACCTCTGAAAACGTCCCGGTAGCAACAACAATGCCATAGAAGCGAACTTCATACTTAAAACGAGGCAGTGAAGGCATCTTCAGAGCCAAGAGTAAAGCGTGACATTAATTTGCAAATCTCCAGAAAAGAAAGTCATGGCCCATATACAGCTGCAAGGAATGGATGCATATAATAGTGCGAGATACAGGAGATCTTTCCAGGAAAGCATTGCCCAGAAGCTTGGGGCGAACCACAGAAACCTGCATTGATTCACGGCGGATATATACAGCCGGCGTTACGAAAGGCATGAACGGAGAGAACCTCCCTGTGTCTGATACTGACAAACCCTTTTTCTCCACCTCTGACACACAACCAACATTCAGTCATCAAACCAAAATCAACAACTGCCTGGGCAACCTTAAAGGCAACTCAATGTAGAAGAGTTGCATGAGATAGGAGTAACCCCTACTATGGTTTTTGAAGCAGTTGGTCCCTTCTGTGAATTTGGATAATGTTATTAAAACACGTAGACTACCTGATCTTCATTCTACTAACGGACTCACTGTCTATTGTACAGGCTACGTCAAAATCTGCCTCTGAAAGTTTCATGAAGACCACATTTTGTAGGCTCAAATGGAACAGCTGAGTAAAAAATAATGCGGGATTGCAATTTAAAAAAATGTAGCCATCAGTAAAGTAAGAAGCAGTAAATAATCTTTCTCTGTCGTAATGCAGTGAACGAGGATTGAAAGTTGAAATTTAAGCCCGCGTAGTCTGACTTTGTTTCGTCCCAGGTTTGTTTAAAGATTGTCGTTTGCTTTTGTTTTGGTCCCCGTTTATTTTCTGTGTTTTATGCACTCAAAGTGCAGCAGTCATAGTAATCTATGCATAGCGAATGAAACTGCCTCAAATATTTTCTCTCAGCAATGCACGTTGCTCTCTAGCTATATCAGGTAGTTTTTTCCTTTTCACACATGTGTTTTGACGTTGACGTAGGAAAACGTCAGAAAAAGCTAAGGATACATGTTGGATGGTTTTTTATATTGTGGAATTCAGCTATCGTTGGTGTCGACTACGTTTTCCCGTGGTGTAACTGGATGGAATGGAAGGGAAAGTCACTTCCTTGTCCTCATTGTAGGACCCATCATTTATACTCCTTATTTGATCGTGTATGCTGGTTAAGTGCGAGTAGACCTTGAACTTTTTAGTGCTTCAGTCGAGGTTCCTTTTTAATTTGCATCATATTCAGGACTAGACTGGAGTCGTCGGATTGGTCTAACTGGTGTGTCATCGGTTGAACCCTACTCCATCTGAAATTGTTTTGATAGCTGGGTTGTATCAGCAACCTTGTACACATTGGTTGTAATCGCTGCTTATTGTAAAAACTTGCGCTTAGTTGCTGGGTCACGTTTAGTTTTCATTTCTGTCGTAAAATAGTTTGAGAAAAGGAAGTATCAAGTTTGAAATTATGATAAAAGTTTTTACACATGGTTATGCAGCCACCCTTATTTTACAGGTTTTTGGATCTCACACTTCAATGTTTTCTTTCGGGAGGAAAGTGATGCAGTGAACCAGACTATGCTTTTCAGCCGCTTATTCATTCGTAAGCAGGATGCTCAGTCATCCTTTTTAATCATTCGGACTTCTTTCAAACGATTACTTAGATTATCGTGCATCTAGAATTGTGAAAGGCTAGGTTGGACTGTAGTTTTGCTGTTCTTGGGTGACTACCAATATGCCCTGAACCCACCAATGAGGAAACAATCCCTTTCAGCCTATTACTAATATGAAGTAGAAGTAGCATTCATGTGACTAAAAAACATCAGAATACCTGGTAAAGGTAGAGATACAATCAGCAATCTTGTTTACCTTCATGCACTAGGCAATGAGCCACACCTATTGAAGATTAATGACACTACTTGGGTGCCCAAACCGCGGATGGCAGAGCAGGGCTCGAACCATGACCTACTAGTTGAAAGTCAACTCCCCAAACCAGTGTGACTGAGATCCTTAAGCCACGCAAAAAGCCTTCAGTTTATCCCTTATCACTTGTAAATTATTTGTATGAACCCCGCATAGTAATTTAGGAATTCGATAATTAAAGGCATTTGTTTCATGGTATTCGATGTTAGGCAAGGATCTATACATTTCAGACTCAAAATCCTAAAAGTGAGTCGTGGATCAGCAAATAAACAACGAGTAAGGCCTCTTCACTGCCAGCTGTATAGTCGGGAAAATAATTTCCTTTAAAAATAGAAATTGTCATCAAAATCATGCAAAATCTCTATGATCAGCAGCATCTTTTCGACAATTAAAAACCTCCCAGAAGGAGTAGCAGTTGCTCTCAGCTTAGTTGTCAACTTCAAAGTCTTGTGGTAGTTTCTGAAAGACGGTAAAGTACTATATTTCCACCGACTTTGTTTATTACTAACGGTTCACTAGCTCACGTTTTTCGTCCTAGGAATTTTTAAAGCATTTTGTTTAGTATAGTACTGTCTGCTGCCTCATGAATACCTTAGTTAGGTAACTGCTGAAGTAGCTTATGAAGCTAGTTTCTTGATACACGACATCGTAGCGAACCAAAGTGGTATAGTTACGAAATATTATTTAAGAATATCTTAAAAAGTATCATATTTGAACAAAGCAAGAGCAAAAACATTTGCAGAATAAAGTGAGCTCATTTTATCCTGCAAATGTCTTTGTTCTTGCATCGTTCGAATATATCAAGGGAATTAAATGTATGACATCTCATGTTTTTATGTTCTTAAGGGCGCGTTGTCTAACATTGTTCAATTTGGATGATTGAACGCGGCACCTAAACTCAGTCACGTTGCCGGGTTCAAACCCTACTCTATCTACTTCAGCCTGGTAACTATTTAGTATAAGTATTCACGACAGCTGATTCAACCCAATACATAAATAGTTGTGCTAGCTTCAGTTATTTTTGTTCGATATAAAGTTGGGTTAAGGGTTAGTTTGAACTTTCCAATTTTTTTGTGAACTGCATTTCGATTGTTATAAAGGAGTGACTAAATACTGCTCAGTTTGAATATTGTTTGAATGTGATAACTGTGTCCTCCTTGAATGTTAGGAAAGTTTTCCGGTTGGTATCTTGTCATCCCACTGTACTCCCACATTCCAAATCTTGTATAAGTTTATCTTTTTTCTCGTTATCACCGAGTTCATACTAAATATTGAAGTCATCTTTCAGTGTAAGGAGGGGTATTTTCCTCCCTTTCACCATCTTTTGTCATTGAATATTTAGAATTTGGATTGAACGCACTATATCGTTTATACTTGCACTTTTATACTTAAGTCTTCAGTCAAAATCCCATTTTACTTCTATGCCTCGAGGCAAGCTGTTGGCTACCGTCAAATTAAATTGTTGGGAAAAAAAATTGTAGCTGCTGAACTCAGCTATCATTTTGAGTTCCACTTTCTACCGGTCTCTAAGTGAGTGTGAAGTTGGTGAGGATTGCTCCATGGGAGATAGCCTGTGATTTTCTGTTTGTATAGAGCGACAAAGAAGAATTATTTCAGTTGCTGACTGCAACAGCACCCGCCTTACTTAGGTCAGTGAAATCCCGTACATATACAGAGCTTGTTTCATATATTTTTAAGTATCACTTTTGACGTCATAGGAAAGTTGCTTAAATGTCAGTGAACTGGAATGTGTCATCGTTTGAAGTCTGGCCATCAGTATGCAAATGGTAGGTAAACGGTAGGTGTATTCTGTGGGGATGCTACAATGTTTCGACATCTAATGCCTTCGGAATACCATTCTTCTACGCCTGAACTGCCTGTTAAAATGTAGTCGGAGGTTGACTTAAACATTAAACTCTGAAGTAATGGATCGCAGGTCGTTCTTATCCCACCTACTTTGACCTGTACAACCAGTAGTATCACAAGCTCCTAATACATGGCTCGCGACCTTGTAGAAGGCTGTTTTATTAAATTCACTGAGTGTTATGCTGGTGACTTAGTAAATAATTCATTACCGCTGTAATATACGTATCAACTCGTATTACTTATTTGCACGTGAAAAATTAAAAAACCTGGTATTTGGATGATAAAATTTCCAGTTATAAAAAGTTACCACAATAAGTATGAATTATTTATTCTATTCGACGTCAGGCTTAAACAGTCTTTATATTCATGATAATGTGAACATTCAAAGAATGGTGTAGTATGAATGTCAGACTACTATCTACATTTAAGACGTTTGTTCTGATGATCGTACTGATTATTAAGACCGAACATACGTTACCTAAAAATCAGACAACAGACTTACGAAAAGAATAGTACCCTGCTTGCACAACTCACTCCCTAATTTTTTTTGCAGATAACAGGCTAACAAAATGTCGGTGATGGCAGTTCAGCAGGGTCCATTTATGAAAGACCAGTTGGTCCAGTTACGAGCCCAGATCAATGCCTTCAAATTACTTTCCAAGTCACAACCAGTCCCCGAAACATTGTTATTGGCAGCTGAAGGAAGACAACTTCTGAGTCATGCATCTATTGTAATGACTGGACCGCCTGCTCCAAATATACCTGGACACCAATGGTCTCAGTCCACTATAGCTTCTATACAGAGTGCACCATTCGTAGGGGTTTCCCAAACATCTGTCGCTCAGAGCGAATTTCATCCAACCAATCCTACATTGGCAATTCCCTCTCGTGTGCGAGCTAATGTGCAACCGGGTTTGGTGGCTGCACGTATAGGTCCGTCAGTTGGTTACCAATCATATACGGGATCGGCTTCAACCGGAACCATTTTACCTACTGCTGCTAGTACTTTTGGAAGAAGTAGGCTTACTCCCATTCAACGTCCTCAGGGTTTAGATCCCGTAGAGTTGTTAAAAGAAAGAGAACAACGTATTCAGTCTCGTATTGCACAGCGTATTAAAGAGTTAAGTACTCTCACTGTATTTGCTACTTCTGAACAGAGAGTTTCACTATTAATTGAGCTTCGTGCTCTTCGCTTATTGAATTTCCAACGGCAGCTGCGGCAAGATATAGTCTCGGCGATGCGACGAGATACGAGCCTTGAGACAGCTTTAAATGTAAAAGCGTACAGAAGACCGAAGAAACAAACACTTCGAGAGGCTCGGTTTACAGAAAAGTTGGAAAAACAAATGAAGCATGAACAAGAGAAAAGACGCCGTCAAAAGCATCAGGAATTTTTGAATGCCATTCTTAGTCATGGGAAGGACTTCCGAGAGTTTCATCGTAACGTTAATAGCCGAATGATAAAGATAAATAAAGCTGTTCTAAATTACAAGGCCAACGCTGAACGTGATAAGAGGAAGGAACAAGAACGGATAGATCGTGAGCGCATGAGACGTCTAATGGCTGAGGACGAAGAAGGTTATCGGTGTCTTATCGATGCAAAGAAGGATCAGAGGCTTCATCATTTACTGACTCAAACCGATGAATTTATTAGTAATTTGACCAAGCTTGTCCGCGATCATAAGCGAGAACAAAGCAAGCAACGTTTTAGGGAAAGATCAGAAAGACGAAAGTTTGCTCAAGAATCAGCTCTTCAAAATGCCGTTGTATTGTACCGAAAATTAGCTGATGATGTTATAAAAAGTGGGGGAGCACCACCAAGCTATTTAGCTACTCTGCCATCTACTGAGAAATTTCCAGAAGAACTTAGCCAAGTAAACCGTGACTGGGTATGCGGCAAAATGTCCTCGTCTAATATACAACTACCTGAAGTTCGTATACCCATGTATCAGACAACAACAAAAGAAACTGTTGAAGGCGATGCTGCACCATTGGCTTCAGAAGTCTATACGTGGCTTCAAGATCATCAAGGTTGGGAGGTAAGGCAGAAAGTAATAGTTGTATATCTTGTTTGTTATATGCTTTTTTGTGACTAGTCGATACTAGCAAAATACCATTTTATTAAGTCTTGTTATATGTAACGCGATTAAATGATTTGTCAATGAAAATGAAATAATGATAAAGTTAGTGTACCTTATCAGCCATTTCTTACTCTGTGCTGGTAAAGCCATACATACGACGAATGGGTTGAAGACAGTGGTTGACTGTTCAAAATTAAACAGAAAAATTAGTTTGAAACTTTTAGCTCAAAGTTTGAGAACACATGAAACTTGGTACTGTGTTCCTTTTTAGATAGTTTTAAGTGCCTCAGTTTATTTAGATATTGAAAAAAGGTTATTATTTGTCCCTTGGGTTCCTAGTCATCATCATTATCAACATAGGACCAGGCATTACTGCGTAACGGTCCGAGTTGCCACACCTCATATCAGCACATCAAGTAAAAAGGTAGTGAGGTGAAGGATGAAGATAAGTGAATGCAGTCAAAAGAAATATAAAGTACGAGAAGAAAGAAAGGAGGAGTGACAAAATAGTGAGATTCGGTATAGCGTTGTTAAGATGAGGATAATGTGTGTATACATCTGCGCCACTGACTTCGGTTCTGAGCCATATCACCTAGGGTCTCCAACCACTGGTTCCTCTTGTCCCGTGGACCCCAACCACCTAGTCTGCATCGTCCTACATGGCTTAAACCAACAGTCAGAGACTTCATACATTGGTGCCATGTTTTAGTCTGGCCACCTCGGGCCTTTTTCCAGCCTGAACCCACCTCAGCCAACATTGTGTGACGAGGCAATCGGTGACTAGGCATACGTAGTACGTGTCCCAACCATCTCAGTCGATGAAGGTTCACAACCTCGTCGACTGACTTACCTCTTCTCCCTAAAACTCTACACCTAACTTCTGCATTACTCACATGGTGACACCACGGAATACGTCCTATACTACGAAGGCAACGGTGGTCAAATACCTGTAACCTTCTCATGTCTTCCACTTTCAATGGCCATGTTTCACAGCCATACAGTAGAACAGAGCGGACTGCTGTGCAGTACACGCGACCCTTAATAGACAAACGAATATCACGGCGGCGCCATAGGTGGCGCAAATTGGCAAAAGCCAATCGAGCCTTTTGTATCCGTGCAGAAATCTCATCGGCAACTAACCCACCGGGTTGATCCTACTTCCCAGGTAAGTGAAGTGGTCAACACACTCAACCACTTCACTCTCTATTGTTAACCGCGGTACCGCTGAAGACCAGTCCTGGAGCAAAAATTTGCATTTGGGTGGTGAAAATCGCATCCCAAACATTCTCAAATTCCCACTCAAAGTGTTCAGAAGACTCTGCATCTTGTCAGCGTCTTCACCTAACAGGACTATGTCATCTGCATATTCTAGATCTAAGGAAAATTCACCTGTGATCCGGTCAACGTCTTTGTAATTAGGTGACGAGAGGGAAACCTCCATAAGAATATCTATGATAAAATTAAATAAGAATGGGGATAGTGGGCATCCTTGACGGACACCACTTGATGAGTATAGCTCGCCATAGGCTCTAACATGCCCACAAGTGTTCGAGTAGAGAGCTTTCAATAAGGTGATGTACTTACTAGGCACGCCTTTCAGTGACAGACACTGCCATAAGACTTCTCGATCAACGGAGTCAAATGCCGCCTTCAGGTCGAGAAATACAGCTATTGTCGGGCGTCTGTAAGCATGCCTATGTTCCAGGACCTGGCGCAGTGTGAATATTTGGTCGATACATCCACGGCCAGGTCTAAAGCCTGCCTGGTTTTCTCGGGCTTGCTGTTCCCGAGCTCCACTCAGGCGTCGGAGAATTATAGAACTTAGGATCTTAGACACTATGTTTGTCAGGCTGATTCCTCTGTGGTTATCACAAGAGGACTTCTCGCCTTTCTTGAAGACTGGGATGATCAGTGACTTAGACCAGTCGGAGGGGATCGTATTTGATTCCCATATACTGGCTAACACTTCCGTTAGCCTGACTAAGAGAACTCTACCACCATTCTTGTATACCTCAGCAGGTAGTCCGTCTGGTCCTGCTGCCCTTCCCCGTTTCAGGCTACCTACCGCTTTCTCAACTTCTTCTAGTGTTGGGGGACCTGTCTCTATGTCCCATTCAGGGTCCGACTGGATAGCGGGCAGCGCAATGGTGGCTGGAGGCCAGTTAAACTGTTCCTCAAAGTGTTCTGCCCATCGTCCCAGTCGCCTTCCCTGCGAGTGAATCGCATCCGTCCTTCTCCGCTATAACCTCACTAACTGTTGTTGACCATTTCCCCCCAGTCTCCTTAATAAGTCTAAATAACTGTCTACTGTTACCGATCGCCGCTGCCTTTTCCATCTCTTTAGCCTTTGCTGCCCACCACTGTTCACGATCGTTGCGCAGACTTTTCGTCAGTTTATTTTTAAGTTGCGCTCGCTCTTCATTGTACTCAGAGCCTGCAGGGATGCATTCACGTGCATCCATTAGTTTGGAAGAAGCTGCTGATATCCACTGGCTCTTTTTAGCCATTATCTTGGAGTCGGCTACAGTCTCCAGTGCTGCTTTTACAGTAGACTGAAGATGGCACCAAGCTTCTTCTGGATGAGTGACAGTCTTTTGTTCCGATAACTGCCTAGCCAACTTCTCACTGAACACGGCTTTGGTGTTTTCGTTGTCCAGCAGAACTCGTAGTGGTTTTGTTGCCAAATTTTTTCTACGTCCATTGAGACGCAGGCATATACGTGCTCGGACCAACGCATGATCGCTGTCCAAACACGTACTCCAGAAGGAGCGGCAGTCTTCCACCGATCCTCTCCAGCGATGACTAATAGCAATGTGGTCTATCTGTGTCCATCGCTGAGTCGAGCTCGGTGGACGCCAGGTCAGACAGTGCCTTTCTTTATGTCTGAAATTTGTGCTGGCTAAAAATAGGCGGTTATCTGAGCATAGTTGTAATAGGCGATCACCGTTATCTGTACGTTCAGCTGGGATTCCGAAAGTGCCACCTAAGTGCCTTTCTGCCTCACTCAGTCTACCCACCTGTGCGTTGAGGTCACCTGCAACAACCACTACGTCCGAACGTTTGGCTTTCGAGAGGAGGTTAGACAGTTTATGGTAGAACTCGTCCTTCACTTCATCCGAACTACAGTCAGTGGGTGCGTAAGCAGAGATTACAAAGAGACAACGGCGAGTCTCACTATTCCTTTTAGTTCTCACTGTGCCGTTCAGCCTCATAGCGCAGAGGCGACTATCAACTGGGATCCAGTCTAGTAGTGAGTTTTCTGCCCTGGTGCTTAATGCTATACCTACACCTGCAAGACCACGAGAGCTAGCTATCGAATCTCCAGAAACTCGAAGGGTGAATTTTGCAGATTCACCAGATTGGTCAGGAGAGGTCAGGTGAATAACCACACTTGGGTCCTGTATGCGTGTCTCACAAACACAGCACACATCCATGCCCCGAGTTGCTAGAGTCTTTGCCAACGAAGCCTGTTGGCCAATTTGACGGAGGGTGCGGACATTGAAGGCTCCAATATGTAATTTGGAGCGTGGTTTAAGGAGACCAGTGATGCTGTTCGAAGGCTGCAGAGGTAGGAGAAATTGAAGATGATGCAGCATCATTAATTAAGAGACGTGAAGGAAGATTAGAAGGTAATGATGGAGGAGGAGGATAGCAGTCAGAAGAAACTTGGGTGCTGACAGAGTTGTGAGGGCGGTTGACACTTCCCGGCTGCCCACACCGTGGAAGGCTATTTCTTCTTAAGGTACCTGAAAGAGATTTGTGTGACCGCAGAGCCCATCGGACATCTGCTTGAGGCCTGTCACACCCAGCCTTTTGAGTATGATTATTTTGAATTTTTGTATTTTTGGGGCCGGATGGTCGAAAGGAAACGACAAGTGAACCAACACCGCCGGCCCGGCAGACCGTGGGGCGTGGTGGAGTGTGTTATTTTTGGGGCCGACCTTTTCTAACCCCCCCTTCCACTGAGAAGGCAGCATCAGCTTGGCACTGCTGGTCATCCAAGGGAAACACCTTACTGCTGTCACACCCCATCCAGCTAGCAGCAGTACGACTTCGCCCTCAGACCCCCATCATAGTGTAGCAATTTACACTATAACGGTAACTGCTTTTCGTCTAACCACTACCCAACAGACCTTTCTGGTATGGTAGGACCTCGAGGGAACAAGCGTTCCACCAGCATAGCTCGTTGGGTCATTGTGATATGCAAGCCCGACCACCACGTCAAGGTAGCCGCTATCGGTCCTCGGGGGGGGGGGTTCCTAGTGGGACATAGAGCTTCAGTAGTACGTCTCCAGTGCACTCTGTTCTCTGCATTCTTTTCAACCTGGATCCACAACTGCCCACAAGCTCTCATTTCTTCCTCACACCATCTCATCCATGTCACACTCACTTCGGACGCCCAACTCGTCGTTTCCCATCTAGGTTCCATTCGAGGGCCTGGCGCGTGATGTCCCCAAATGGTCTTTTCAGTGCATGCGCAATCCATCTCCATTTCCTTCTGCATATTTGTTGAGCGATAGGTTCTTGGTTGGTTCGTTGTCCGACCAGAGTTCCTTGTTGCTGATTCCTTCTGGCTATCTGAGCTTCAGTAACGAGCGTAGACAGTTGCTATTGAATGTCTGTAGTTTGTTGGAAATGCCTTTCGTAATGTGCCAGGTCTCTGAACTGTATACAAGCACTGACTTGACGTTGGCGTTGAAAATCAGGATCTTGTTCTTTATGCTGAGTGCAGAAGATCTCCGCAATGGTTTCGGGTTAATGAACGCCTGTCTTACTGTCTTTCCGATCCTGGCTGGATTTGACACCCTCGTCTGTTCCGCCTGTAGTTGAAACGGTACTGCCTAGATAGGTGAAAGAGGTACTGCCTTTGAGTTTCGCCTGCTGATGGTGATTGATGTTTGTTGTTGTTGTTGGTTGGGTATCTTCATCACCTACCCCTGTCTTCTCTACATTCACTTGAAGTCCCGTTTTCACTGCCTCGCCTCTTCTGTCAACTTGTTGGATTTCGCCTGTAGATCTTCAAGTTTGTGTGACATTAGACACAAGTCATCGGCGAAATCCAAATCTCCTAGGATCTTTTCCCCGGTCCGGAGTATCCTCCTCTTCTCACAGCTCCTCACTGTTTGTTGCATAATCTAGTCGGCCACAATCAGGAAGATCATCAGTGATAGTAGGCAGCCTTGTCTTACTTCTGTCTTCACTTCAATTCAAAGGCATCACTGAGCTTACCATTATGCATTACTTGGCATGTGGCGTCTTCATATACTTGTTGAATGAGGTTGATAAAGATTTGTCGCACTACGTGATGTTGAAGCAGCAGTCTGCCAAATTACTTCTCGGTCGATGCTGTCGAAGGCCTTTTCAAAATCGATGAAGTTGAGTTGACTGTCATTCTATACTCTGTTCTATGATGATGCGTAGCGTTGTAATTTGATCCCCACTTGATTTGTTCTTCCTTAGGCGAAGCCAGCCAGCCAGCCTGTTCTGGTCGTAATATTGAATCCAGAGTATCCTTTAGTCTCTCCAGGATGATGCGGCTTAGTATTTTGTTTGCTTTGGGTGGACAGGAGCATGATTCCTCGCCAGTTCTTGCAAAGACTTAGGTCTCCCTTCTTTGGGAGTTTGACAAGGTAGCCCTTATTCCAATCAACCAGCAGGTACCTTTTCTTCCTTCCAAACCTTCTGCAGTAATGGTGTGAGCATGTCCGCTGTTGTCTCTGTGTCTGTTTTCAGTGCTTCCGGTGGAATTCCACCTGGCCCTGCTGCTTCCCGGCTTTGAGTAACTTTTTGGTGTTCAGGACTTCACTTCAACTTTTGTCGGAGGGCTTGTGTTCACTGGTAGTTCTGTGGCTGAGCTATTGGTGGTATTTATAGACGAGTTGGAGATAGTGGTGGTGGTGGTCGATTCAAGAGTTTTTTGAAGTGGTCAGTCGATCGTTTCCTTTGTTTTTCCTCTTTGGTAACTAGGTTTCCTTCACTATCTCTCATTGGTTTCATGTGAGTTGATCTCTTCCCAGATAGTAAACTGGTGGTTATTTGATACAATGTTGTCAGGTCTCTCCAGCAGCCTGCAGCCTGTTCTGCTTCACTTGCTAATGTGTCGTAGAAGTGTCTTTTGTCTTTGCGCGCACTCTTTACTTTTTTGTCCAGTGTAGTGTTTTATACGTTGTACTCAGTTCCTCTTCTCGTCATTCATCCCTGCACTGGTTTATCTTCTGCTTCACCATCCTCTTCTCCCTCGTTTATCAGCTTCCATGTGTCCGTGGAGATCCATTCCTTATCTTCTTTCTTCCTAATACGGTTATACAGGTTTCTTTCCACATACCTTTCAAAGAGTTCCAGTGATCTTCCACGCAGGTTTCTTCATGGATGTTGCTCAAAATCTCCCATTTTATCCTCATGACTGACGTGAAGATGTCCTTTGTAGCTTCATCCTTCAGTTTCTGGGCGTTGAAATTGGACTGTGATCTAGCACCAACTTCCTTGAAGGCTTTCAACTTGTTTTTGAAGGTGAGTGGTGCAAACCTACATCTGCTCCCCTTCTTGATCTTGTGTCTAGTAGGCTGCGTCTCCACTTTCTTGAGATTGAGATGAAGTCGATCTGATTTTAAGTGTGTCTGGTGAAATCCATGTCGCTTTGTGAATATCCTTGTGTTTTTACACACTGCCTCTAATCGCCAAATCGTTGAGAATTCTGCAAACAGTTCTCCATTCTCGTTCATTTCACCGAGCACTTCTCGACCCATGGTTAGTTCTCTTCCTGTGTTGTCCGCTCCCAGTTTGGTATTCATGTCACCCATTAGACCTTCGATGTCGCCAACTGAGGTCTTGTTAAGTGTTGATTGCAGTTGTCCATAGAGTTCCTCCTTCTTCTCTTCATCTGCATTATTTGTAGGTGCGTAGCATTGAATGATTGTGACTTTCCTTCCTTTTGATTTAAACCTTGCAGTTATGATCCTGGAGAGGATTGGTTCCCACTGTTTGAGAGCCTTCGATGTTCTTGGGGACATCATGATAGCCTTTCCCTCAGTGTGCTCATGGTTATCGTCTGGGTGAAAATATCCGAGTAGATTATTGACTCTCCAGTTGACAGTTTGGAAAGTCTACTTCCATTCCACCTGCCTCCGCAGATTCCTAGCACTTCAGTACTATACCTTCTCATCTCGTTTGCAATCTGGGCAGCCTTGCTTGGTCCAAACGTAGCGCGTACATTCCATGTCCCCATGTTTACTTTCGCTTTCATCAGTGGTGAATTGCAGCTAGCTAGCTCACTGTGGAGTACGGATCTGGACACGGATCAGGCGTTAGTACGGGCACGTGTGTTTGTGGATCTTACTGGTTGGAGGAAACAGGTGTAAGTGAAGCCTGTGTTTGGTCGATTGGAAGATGAAAGTGTGAAGTAGGTGTTTAAGAGGAGACAGGTAAGCACTTACCTAAACATGACAACGATTGTCATTCAGAGGAAGCCTGATGTGATTGATATTCAGTCTACTGTAGAAACAGTGGTAAATACAGTTGTTGACCTACGTGGAAATGCTAGGAGACGTCAATGAATTTCCGTAAATTCATGCGAACTGAGTGATGTGGGAGAATGCATTCCAGTTGGCTTTGACGACAATGAAGAGTGAAAGCAACTGAAAGGTGAATTGTTCATGAGTTTTCTCAGTGGTGGCGAAGGTGAGAGATGTTGATAAGGTATCAGGATAAGGTAATCCATGGTGACTAATTAGGCTTCTTAAGTATTTTGGCACAAGAAAGATGATGATGAGTGAAGCTATTACTGAGTAGTGTGGGACGCTGATGACCTTTAAGGACAAACGGGTGGGTGGCTGGGCAGATTATTTTGAAGCACAGTTCAACTGCCTCGCAACAAGACTTTAGTTGTCAAGCCTCCTATCCGAACTTGAATAGGATGTATATGTCGGTGCTCCAATTCTCGTCGAAGTTGAGAAGATTGTGTGGAACTTGAAACGATCCATAAAAGTTTGAAGTTCTGACGGTTTGTCACCTGAAACTTTTATGGAGAGAGGTGGGGAATTACTGAATAGAGTTATGAATGTACCAGGTAGCGTATGAGAAAACGAGTCTGGCGAGTCTGGTCTACTTTACTGGTGACTTCAGATTTTCGGAAGATAAGTCGTCTTGCTACAGGCATGGTGGGATGGGTTTGACCAACATGGTATCCAAGACCGTATGGTGGATAGTAGTTTGACGTCAGGGTGAAGCTGGAGAACAATGAATTCGAGCGAATTAGGGAGTTTGAAACCTGGAGGAATGCGTGTTTACCGGTTTTCCACTCTTCGAGGAGTGTTGTGATGCAAACATGAATACTGGTGGTCGTGGAGCCATGGGTCAGTGGCTTAGGAAGAAGACTATCAACCGGTAAGTCATGGGCTTGAACCCCGCTCCACCTATCGAGGTTTGGGCAGCCAGGCACCATCAGTAGCCCTCACACATTGGATGTGGCTATTTGTTTACTGCACGGATGTGCACAAAGTGGATGAGTGCCTTTCGTTCGTATACCGGTGGCCGACACTTATAATACTTTTTGCGTGAAGGCGGGATTTAACTCTGTTGACTGTAAGTTGTTGTGACAGTGTTTGGGTGCGAAAGAAGTAGTGAGGAGATAGGTGTGTAACGCTAATCATAGCTATGTACTCGAACTCACTCTGTTGTGTAAGTGCTTATGGTGAGCTGTCATTTGAATTCATGACAATCAGTGGTGTTGGTCAGGGATGCCTACTGTCGTCGTTACTGTTGAACTTCGTTACAGATGTATTAGTGGAAATACACTTAGGTACGTCTGACTTCGCAAGGATTGATCTACTCCCTGTAAGGCATGTGGTTGACTTATAGTACGTAGACGTTATTGGCTTACTGGGTGAATACACTGACAAACTGCAGTCTCTTCTGAACGCGTTGCGACGAAATCTGAGTATGTTGGGCATGAGTTTCATACCTGTCAAATGTAAGATGATGCTTCAAGACCGGCCTGCGTATGCTTCTATTTTGAAGATGGAGGGTGAAGTGGTAGAAGTCGTTGACGACTCCACTTAGTTGAGAAGTTGCATCATCTTATACAGGTTGGTTGCTGACGAAACCTCAGCTCGGATTGAGAGGTCCCATCCTGCATTGATCAACGTGGGTTATCTATGGTGCTGAGTGTTGAAATATCAGATCACCTGGTAAAGGATGAGTATGATGCACTATAGTCCTGCCGTTTAATGGAATCACTATGCGCGCAACTTTGAGGTTAGATAGAGGGTACTAAGCAAGACAGACAAGTCGGTTGATTAGGTTGTGAACGCCAGTGATTGAGGTGGCTTTGCACATGCCGCCACCGTCTATTTCGATGTGCAGTGCTAGGAGAAGTTGGATTAGTTTGGAACAGTGCTTAGGATAGCCAAACCAAAATGTGGCGCCAATCCAGTAAGTCTCTGACTGTTGATTTTAATCGTGTGTATGAGTGGGTTTAGACTTTAGTTGGGATCGTTGAGATAACAGGAATCAGTTGTTGAGGATTCTTTTTGGTAGGATTAGTACCCGTCGAAAGGTATCAAACTTATCAACTTTATCGGCGTACGTTCACTATAGTGTCCTATGCATATTTCATGAAAGCTGACAATATCATTTGAATTTCCTCGCTGAAATCAAATTTAAACTAGTGACCCAGTGTTTGAGAATGGCTTCATTATCGTAGTTCCTCTTGTATTTTCATCATATTCGGATTCACTCTATTCATTATTTGTTTTTGCTATGTTGTTCTACGCATCTGTTTCCCTTCCTGGTTTTCGTATTAGAAATGGATATTGCATAATGTGAAGAATAATTTGGTTTCTTGTGAAATATTTGTTTTTCAGATTCTTCCTACTGATACTGACGGCTCGGTGATACATGATTTATTGGAAACAGATGATGAGTACAAACGTAAACGCAAATTTGATGACGATGATGATGATGATGATAATAGTATGGTGCATGTAGGTACTGAAGATGATGAATATAATAAACGTGGTGAGTCTGGTGCTAACGCACCTCAATCATATTATACACTTGCCCATGCTGTGCGTGAAGACGTCAAGGAGCAAGCTAGCATTCTCGTTCATGGTCGACTAAAAGAATATCAGTTGAGGGGTCTTGAATGGCTTGTTTCATTATATAACAATAACTTGAATGGTATACTAGCTGATGAAATGGGTCTTGGCAAAACTATTCAAACGATTGCTTTGATCACTTATCTAATGGAAAAAAAGCGTGTGAATGGACCATTTCTAATTATCGTGCCACTTTCGTAGTTCTAGCTTTTACGCTGCGTATGCTTGTTAGATCCAATTGAATTATACTGTTAGTGTTTGGAATCATTTTTACTTGTAAAATGGCAGTATAGATAGACTTAGTACTCGTATATAGCAATTTGTGTTACATAAAAATTGTTCTGATATCACACAGGTCGTAAGTATTTTCAGATAGCTTAAGAAAAGCAATAGCTTTCAACAGGTCTGTTGGATAGGATGTGCAGGTTAGATCAGCCGTAACACAAATGAGTAAACTCCTCAGTGATTAGATGGGAGGTACGGAATCTTCTAATCATTCATCTTATATAACACAATGTCATGAAAAGATCCTATGATCATTTAATGTGAACATGACCTATCCCTGATGTTCTACTACTCAGTAATATTCTGTTGAGGGAACTGAAGTACTACAATGTGTCAAAATGTCAAATGTGAAACTCAATCAATTTTTAGAGTTGGGTTGTATACTGTCTTTGCGAACTGTCGTATATCCTGTCACTATCAGGTTTTAAGTCATTGGGAGAAACTATTGGTGTTCTAACAACCTAGTTAGATAGCACTAACGTATTCAGGATTCTATTCGTAGCATATCTTCCCTATGCATAAATGTTGTTTGCTATTTTTGTGATCATATACAATGGAATAGTCATCTAAAAAACATTTTTGCTGGGATAGACACATCAGTTTCACGTCTTTCATCCTCATAAACTGCCCCGTCCTTAGAGGATGCTAGTGCTAACTGGTGCACAGTGCAATGATTCTTTAGGTCGCAATCAGATCATCTCACTGGCAGTAGAGATGGTGTAAGACAAATGTCTAACAGTCCTTTTGTATCCGATCTGTTAATCTTTCTCAGTTAGTCAAGGTTTAGTATTTTGCTCGTTTTTCATGGGAAAACTCACTTGGCAGTTTTGTACTTATCAGGTATATTATGTTCCATCCCTCTCTTAGTTTGTTAGTGATGGCTATTACTACTATTATTTGCACTCTTAATGTTCTGCATTCTAACTGTATTCGATTTCCTCTCACAGACTAACTTACAGCAGATAATTTACCCCTTATTTTAATCTATCTCTGTAAGAATTTATCTGTAATACTAACTAGTAAATTTCAAACTTAGTTAATGACATTTTAATTGGTACATTTAAGTTTAAACATTCCTAATCTATTTATTTACAATTGTGTAGAGTCATGTCGAATTGGGCAATGGAATTCGATCGATGGGGGCCAAGCGTAAAGAAGATATTGTATAAGGGTTCACCTCAAGCTCGTCGACTTCTCCAGACGCAAATAAAGGCTTCGAAAATAAATGTGCTATTAACAACTTATGAATATATCATCAAAGACAAAGCTGCCCTGTCCAAAGTATGTTTATATTTACGTTTTAATTTTCTGGAATTATATACTTGAGATTTAAAGCTCTGAGTTGCATTTTATATAGTACAATAGTAAAAAGATTAAAATAGTCACATTTCAAAACAAAAAGGAAGAAAGGATAAAATCAACAAATGTGGGAGGTGTGCTAAAAGTAACATGGAAATAAGTTTGATTGGAAATGTAACAAATGAATATAAAACTGTGTTCAAGATTTAAATGGCGATAACTACTGGGTGGGTCTGTATCATTATGACTAGTTTTTTAGTATGTCTAACTGCAGAATCTATAATCACTTATTTGCAGTGTCTTATCTGAGTAACTAACAGTTTTCTGTATGTTTTAGGTTATCATTCATTGATTCTATATACTTACCGTAGAACTGCTTTCAACAGGATCCATCCAAGCAGCTAACATTTTGACACGTAACACTCGAGTCAACGAGAGTTTATAAGCCGAAACGCTGACCCTGTCGTTGTTCGCTTAGTAATTCAGTGCTTGACAAAGGTCGACTAAAAAGAAGTAACTCGACCCTGTACACGTTTTTGTAGTAGGTTAAGATCTACGCTTCTTGTTTAGAACTGTGATACTGCTCAGTTGCCTAGGCTGAAGTAGCTGAAACGGTGTCCGTACGTGGGATGCATTACTTGAAAGTCAAGTTCTTAAGCCACTGAACTATATCTCCACTTGATTATCAAGTATCTGTGGTTTTATTATCTTATTTACTCTTAATAATCACTTTCTATAATATTTTATTGGTGCAGGACGTGGTTTTGTTGTTGTAAATGTTAGCTTGCCTTTAAATGTTAAGGACGGTTCATTCATGTACATGAAATTCCTGCCACGTGAAACAATCAGCTCGTTCATTTACTTGAGTTGTCATTGTAGGACCGAGCTAGTTTTGAAGTAACATTTGCTTAGTGAGTACAGTCTGTAACGATAGCTAAAAATATCAATTGAACCTTTAATTGATATTTATACTTACCATTGATTGAGTTTGATAAATTAGTGGTCAGTATGATAACATTCGTTGGTTTTATCCATTTTCGTGGTACAAAGATACATAGTTGGGAAGTCCTGAACATCAGTTTCTCGTTTTGATACCTGGTTTTAACTCATACAACTGTAGCTCACTTAATTTACTCGGCTTTTTATCAACTGGCCACATGATGCGGTTTGGGGTATGAGACGGTATTAATAATAATTTGGTGGAGCTGTGGCTTAGTGATTTAGAGAGGTGACTATCAATCATGGGTTCGAGCTCTGCTTCACATATTGAGGTCTGAGAAGCCACGTAGTATCACCAGCCCTCACACAATAGGTGTGGCTCGTTGCCTACTGCACGGATATGCAGTGCGTTTTGATGTAATAATTTGAGCTAATTTAGACGAACAGACAAATCAAGTTACAGCCTTGTATCAGTTCAAGTCACTACACTAAACTTCACAGCAGCCTGCTGAAAAAGGATGAACTGAAAAACAGTGACATTATTTAGGTAGAAGTGTATAACAGAAGAACGAATTACAAACGAGTGCGTAGTGGAAATGTTCATAATTTCCAAAATGAATAGTTAATCCATGCGTCTGCACCATTGTCGATTTTGAGCTTAACTGTTGATTCTCACTCTTGGAGACCTCCAGACAAGGCGTACATCGCCCTATGTGACAGACTAACTGCCAGAAACTTAATGGATTAGTACCACGTTTGATTTGATCATCTTTAGTTTTCTTTCAAGGTGATCCCACTGGGACTAAAATTTATGCACTAAGTTCGTTGAGCATGCACCACATACTCATATCACAATTAGTATAGGTTCGCGAACTTATTGACTGACTTATCTTCCTCGCCTATTATTCTACACCACAATTCAGCATCGCTCACATGGTGATTCCACCCCACATAAACAGTGCTGCAACGATATCATTAGTCACCACCCTTGCTCTGAATGGCCATTTCTCGCAGCCATATAGTAAGACAAAGTGAACTTCTGTACAGTGTACTCGTCTTTCGATATGTTGTCAAATATGTCACTGGCATCAGAAATAAGTTGGCGAATGCCAGGTGGCCCTTTCGTATCACAGCTGAGATTTTGTCAGCAACTAACTAATCTGAGCTGATCCAACTTCCCAAGTAAGTGTAGTGGTCAAAATATTCCACCATTTCACTCTCTATCCTTGAACTGAATATGCAAAACAGTCCTGAAGTATCATCTTATGTTTGTAACTGGCACACAAAATTACCATTGGTTTTGCTCTCGTCTGTGACAGAGTAACCTGGTCATTCATTGTGGCGTGGTTTTTCATACTACTTTATTTTTAACTGCTTACCACTAATGATGGCTCTATATTTTCACTTGTGTATTTCCTGTCATTGCCTTTTTACGTTACATTGCTCACTCTCTTTTCACTCAATAAACAGAATTAATATTCAGTGCACAATTATTGTTATGGAATAACTTAGTCAGATCATGTCTCAGTAACAGTTATCTAATAAAATATATCTTGCTGTATCTAACAGGTAAAGTGGAAATATATGATAATCGACGAAGGTCATAGAATGAAAAATCATCACTGTAAATTAACTCAAGTACTGAATACCTACTACACAGCACCTTATCGACTTCTACTTACCGGTACACCTTTGCAGAATAAACTACCTGAATTATGGGCTTTGTTAAATTTTCTACTGCCGACAATTTTTGAAAGTGTCAATACATTTGAACAGTGGTTTAATGCCCCATTTGCTGCAACTGGGGAAAAGGTATGTAAATGCATCGCTGTTTTTTTTTACAACCATGGTTATGCATGGTGTTTGCCTACTCGTTAAAAAAAATTATTTTAGACTAACTTTTAAACAAAATGAGCATCAATCAATGCTCCATACAATGTCATATAACCTTGTAGGTTAAAAGTGGAAATAAAATCTAAGAAAACTGCACATACTGTAGGCTCAGTGAGATATATTCAAAAAAGTTTTCACTGTATTATTTTTACTCTGTATAAATAGAACACACAAGAAAACTACCGCCATTACCACTGGTTTCGATTATGTGGCATATTTGATGTCATCTCAGGTTCCTGAGTAGTATGAACACTTTGTGACTCCAGTCAAGTTGTGAGTTACCGACAGGTGCCAACCAAATGCAACTATTCTTCATCCTATGACATCACTTCCTACACTGATCACCTATCTGCTTCCTCGAGTCAGATCGAAGGCTGACGCGAAGTGAACAGTGTATGTGAGGGTAGAACTATTAAGACGACACATTCGTAGCAAATGCATGTTTAAGCTACCGAAGTTCGTGTTTTGTAATGTCTATTTTCATAACTCCCGATTGTACACTACCATACGTGATAATTAATTGCATGTTATTTCCTATAGAGAGAACGGTGATCAAAACAATAGTCAGGTATTCTTGCCTTGTAGTGGCCTGGTTTCACAGGCGTAAGGTGAAATTACCAACACCAAAGCACTGTACATCCTATCTTTTACAGTCGGGTAAACGTTGTCACGGCGCCAACTTTAACCCAGATTTACCGTATACTGTTATGATCTCGCAAAAGTGATTTGTTCCATTTTCTTGGAAATGAGTTGACTTGCCTTTGTTGCACATAAGTGACATTCGTGACTTCAGATTCAATTACTGTTCATTCTTTTCATTTGTTCAAATTAAACCTTATTTCAGCCGATTACATATGAGTTTAGTTCAAAAATCACAGTCAATCTCACAATTCCATTACTACTCTTCCGGACCTTGACTTCACTATATAGAGATGGAGGACTATCTATCTTTACAGTTACTTCTTACTCTTATTGAACCTTCTAGTTTAAAAACACAAAGTCGACCACTAGATTCAGTCGACTAGTGCAGCTTCGGTTCTAGTACTTGGCACAGGTCGAACCTCGACGCTACAGCGTCTCCAGGCAAGCGTTGACAAATGATAAGGTCATTTGAAGCAGTTGACCGACATTTAATGTATGCGGACTTATTTACGGTACCCATAAATAGCAAGGTTCCCTGAAAAAAAGTCAAAAATCTGCTTGTCCTATCAACATCAAAGTGTAAACGTAAGATCAACATATTGATCTTGGTGGCTAGCAGAGGAATCCAGGACGCGCGCTTCGTCCTATTTGGAACAACAAGAAGCGTTAACAGTACATGCAATTCCAAAATAGTCGAGTTAAATGTCTCACTCGAGGACGGCCTAGTGGTGGAAGCGACTGTATGGCTAATCAAAACGATACTCATGGAGAGTTCATAAAATAGCGAATGGCTGAGTACAGCATCGAAAAATGTAACGAAAGATTTGAAGATGACCACAACGCAATTCATTTGTAAACAATAAGGATAACAAAAGTGCATTTAATAGAGTTGTTTACTGAGTTCGTAATGCTTCTACAATGTCTTCGAAAACTACTCACCTAGCATTTACTTAGATGTTCGATCCACAAAACTTGCATTCTCATAGTTGCCATTCATCGAGGTAGATTTTTCCCCCTTCATCCTTTTTAAATCCTGGAGTTCATGTGAACCATTGGTTTTGAGCTAGGATTTCCTCATTCCTCAAGGGGAACACTACCTATTCGCTAATCTGGTGATTCGTGCATGCGATTTTCTTTGGCTTTTATAGAAAAACGTTTGTCACATAACGATAACGAATAGAATTCGCGTAAAGGAGGCTATAAACTCAACTAGAGATGCACTAACTTCAATATTGAACTTGGTGCTGATGATGTCTACAACAATAATGAAAGCCTAACGAGAACGTAAAATGGCCAAGAAAGCTATACGATTTGTACCTTCAGCAAGTTAACGTAACGCTTCGACCATAGTGGTACTAATATTTGCCTGCTTAAATCAGTATCATTGAGTGATACTGGAAGTTTCTTAGTGGTGTTATGTAACATTTCTTGTCATCAGCAGGTAATACAAATAAAAAGAAAGTTCCTTGGCATGCACAGTGACTAAATTTATGTGCATCAGCTATGTTTTATACTTAACTTGTTTTCCGACAAAGTTATGTTTAAATGTTCATGCTTTTATTCTTAATATATTCGTAACTGTCTTGCTTATGAATGATTGCGAATCAACTTATATAGACTCCCAAAGGAAAGGTGTTTTATTCAAAGTTCTTTTTGAGTGTTATTTCCTTGATGCATATGTATATTGCGTATAATCAAGATATTTTTGTGGTAATGACTGACAAGCGATATTAGTGTAAAACTATGGAAACAGATTATCATGCATTTCGATCCACTGATAAATATAGAGAAAGAAGACTAAACTTGCAGAATTAAATTAATTTCCTAACTATTCAGAACAGTAAAATTACAATGGTTATTAGAACAAAATTATATCATAACATACTTTAAACCATTGTATGACAACATATAGGGTAATTCAAAAAGTAAGGAATCCAAAGGACTAAGAAATTCGGAAGTCTTCTGTGCATCATAATCGTTTCCAGTCTATGTATTATGTAATAGGTTAAGGAATTGTGCGTAGAAGTATTGAAAGGAGGGTATCCATTCGGTTCGTTGAGCATATTTCGAAGAATTGATACTTGAAAGGAAGGAAGATTCTAATCGGTGAAAATAACAAACACCTCGTAGATACAGGATAACAAGTTGGTACTTCTAATGTTTTTAAAGTAATAAATGTTCAGCAACTACCTGGACTACTACACCTTATGGAAGCAATTGCAACAAAGCGCTCTTAACTAGGTTTCTGTATGCATAAGGAGAGTATGACCATTCTCTCACTTCCATGGTGACTATAATTTGATCTAGTTTCGGTTAAAGTACATAATTCTTTATTTTACTCACGTGATTTAAACTTACTGAGTTTATCTCAACCTGATGGATACCATTTCCTCGTATATTACGTAATCTGTCAGGAAGTAATAATTGTCACTTTTCGTACGTTTTTTTACCTCATGTGCACAACTCTTGAACATTCTGTTTCGAAATATATAAATTAGCAATGGTTTTGATCACTGATTTTTTCAATACTTTGGACTTCTTAGTATTAAATTATCTTAAGTGCTATCTTACAATATGTTAAAGTATGTAACTGTATAATTTCGTGCTTTCTGGTACTCATCATAAGGACGTATCTGCTACTATGAGGAAACTGATATCCCCTCTGTAATCCAAACTTGTGACTCACAAATTGAAAGATAGGAGTCTAGACCAGTGCATGAGATCAAGCCTGAAATAGCTCAGCTAGTATGTCAGAGAGTAAAAGTTAAACAATATTTACTGCAATAGAGTTGGATATTTTCTTACACTTACAAAATAGATCAAACCTGAGAAAGTAATATGACGTACATTATCCAAAATTTTAAATAAGATACCAAGACAAATGACCGTAAGATTTTTGGGTGAATTTCTGTTAGTTGCATTTTTTTCGGTACTAGGAATATTTCCTATATTCTGACCTGAAGCCCTAATCACTTGTATGATTACGATTTTACCAGTTCAGTTAAATGTTACCTCGAGTTCTCTTATTGTTTTGTGATTTAAATTATGCTATCAGTTAATCGCTCATATATACTCTCTTGTAGGTTGAGTTAAATCAAGAGGAAACACTACTTATTATTCGTCGTTTGCACAAAGTGTTGCGTCCATTCTTGTTACGTCGACTGAAACGTGAAGTTGAATCTCAACTGCCCGAAAAAGTTGAATATGTGATTAAATGTGAAATGTCAGACTTACAAAGAGTTCTGTATTCGCATATGCAGTCTAAAGGTGTCATTCTAACCGATGGATCAGAAAAAGATAAAAAAGTAAGTTTTGTACCAGTAAATTATAAAATGATACAAGATTTATGGTATAGCACATAGTGTGTATTCTGACTAGAAACATGTTGGGCGATATTCGAACCTTTGACAACTTATCCCATAAATATCTTTTGACAGTTTTCAAATATTCTCAGTAATTTGAAAAGTATAATGTAAACAAATGCAATTGGGTCATCTTATGAGTGTCAATTTTAAAACTGTAATGTTGTTTTTAACCTCCAAGAGCACCAAATTAAGGAGCGACCCACTGTGTCTTGATGACATGTTGCTATGATATGAGTTTCTATCTGGTTAATTTTCTAATCAGAATAGATATCATCCGTAATATTCGATAAAGCTTTCAGCGTGTTGAGAATTGTGTGAACCTGGGAAAGGCGAACTTCTGGATACCAAACAACTGACTTAACGATAACTTGTTTGTCACAGAGCTTGTTCATCCTGGCTCCTTTTGAGGAAGCGATCAAGGATGCAGTGGTGAACCAAGACGACACAGATGTCCGGTGCTTTTACAACTGATTTTGGTTATTGGTGGTATCTTCTTGTCCCACGACCGTTAGCTTCTACCTTGATACAGTGGTCTGGCTTGCATCCCTAGCCAGCTACAGTGAATTGGACGCTTGTTCCATTGAGGTTCTACCATGTCAGAAAGGTTTGTTGGATGGTGATAAGACACTAAAGTTGCAGTTAGATGATAAATTGCTACGGTTTGGTGCAGGTTCCGAGGCCGAAGTCACTTTGCTGGCTAGATGGCGTGGGATAGCAACAAAAGGTTTCTCTTGGATGACCAGTAGTACCATGGTAACGTTGGCTTCCCGCTGGGAAGGATCGTGTTAGCATAGATAGGCCTCAAAAGAAGCGCACTCTCCATTGCCATAAAGTCTTCTTGTGCTGGCAATGAGGGTTTTCTTATCCGGCGTTAGAACAACCAAATCGCATATCAACAATATTCGAAAGGCTATGTGACAGACCTCAAGCAGATGTAGTAAGGGCTCAGTTGCCACACGATTCTTTTTCAGGTGCCCGAAAATAACAACTTGTACAGTGTGGGCATCCGGGAAGTGCCAACTGCCTGTGCGCTTCCAATAGATCCAATCAAACAATCTATCCACTTAGCTTCTATCTCTTCCGTTCCCTTCATCTCCTAGTAGTACCATTATAAAATCTCTTACGACTTTCTTAACTTGTCATTCTACCACCACCGCCAACGATGAAAGTAGGCTAAACCTTATTTCTAGGCTCCCGAATCTCCACTGTTGGCTTGATAATGAAAATTTTCAATGTTCGAACATTATGCCAAATCGGATAGCTGGCATCTTTTCCCAAAACTCCATAACCTTGAGCCACCGATGTTTACTGTGTTTATGAGACAGGTATGCAGGACTCGAATGTGACCAGTCACTTGACCTCACCTGATCTTTGCGGTGCACCTTCAAAACACACCTTACCAGCATCCAGAGACTCCATGGAGAGATGTTGGTGTAGGTATAACACTAAGTTTGTGAGCAGGGAGCCGACTTCTCGAGTGGATATCAGTGCACAACTTTGTTTGTTCTGTCCGAGTGAATGGATCTGTAAGAAGTAGAAGCATTTGTGAGACTTGTCGATGCCTACTCATAATCTTGACCTATGCGCTCACTGAATGCAGTTTGGACGATGTGAAGGATGAATTCCACCGAAAGGTGTCATTTTAATATCTAAATCCGAAGGTTCAAGTATATTCATAATAGTAGGCAACTTCAAGGCTGAATTAGGAAAGCTGATGCAATCGGAGAGACATATTGTGGATCCCATGCCAAGGAACTGACAACGGTGACCATCCATCTCCTTTGCAATTCGATGCTGACAACCACTCGTTTGTGGTCAGCACTAACTTCAGACATTAAGGAGAGACACTGTCTCATGTGATATTCGTGGACATCAAACCGACGATGGAGACTTTTATATATCATATTGGTATAAGCCATCAGTGGTGAATTGCAGCTAGCTAGCTCACTGTGGAGTACGGATCTGGACACGGATCAGGCGTTAGTACGGGCACGTGTGTTTGTGGATCTTACTGGTTGGAGGAAACAGGTGTAAGTGAAGCCTGTGTTTGGTCGATTGGAAGATGAAAGTGTGAAGTAGGTGTTTAAGAGGAGACAGGTAAGCACTTACCTAAACATGACAACGATTGTCATTCAGAGGAAGCCTGATGTGATTGATATTCAGTCTACTGTAGAAACAGTGGTAAATACAGTTGTTGACCTACGTGGAAATGCTAGGAGACGTCAATGAATTTCCGTAAATTCATGCGAACTGAGTGATGTGGGAGAATGCATTCCAGTTGGCTTTGACGACAATGAAGAGTGAAAGCAACTGAAAGGTGAATTGTTCATGAGTTTTCTCAGTGGTGGCGAAGGTGAGAGATGTTGATAAGGTATCAGGATAAGGTAATCCATGGTGACTAATTAGGCTTCTTAAGTATTTTGGCACAAGAAAGATGATGATGAGTGAAGCTATTACTGAGTAGTGTGGGACGCTGATGACCTTCAAGGACAGACGGGTGAGACGTTGGGCAAAAATGAAGGAAGAAATTCACTATGAACCAGATCACTAAACTCCATGGTAATATCAAATAGGAAGTTCTTAAAATAGTTACAATCGCCTGTTGGGGAAGTTAAGCGATAGAGAAGAATTCTCTTTTTTCTGACTGTCTTCATTCATCGTATGACTTTAATGTATTGTCAAAAGTTTCAATAAGTTCATTATTACCTGTGGTACAATTTTTATTACCACAGTCTTCTGCTTCAAATTGTGTTGACGTGATCAATAATATAGCAATCAGTAGAGCATGACCACCTATCTCAGGAGTAACTTTTCCCTCCGCGTCATTTTTGACAATTGGGAAATGGGCTTTTTTTTTTCAATCGTATCGATGCGATGAACATAACATATGAGTTAAATAGGTGCCTAGTGGTTTCCGGTAGTTATTTTCATGCAAATAATATCTGCATATTATTGGTTCTCTTTTCAACTTCTCCAGTTTTATTTACCTTTGTTAAAAAATGACTGTGATTCATTATTTTGTTACCTGGTCGTAATTTTTTTGAAATTAAATTTTAAGGCTGTTAAGGTAAGAATAACGTTACCAAGTTTCATTTCTTTTTCATTTTTCATTCCCAACTGAAAAAAAAGAATTTCTGTTAATAGGCGAGCGTAATATTTTGTCATTTTTCACTGCGTTAATTCTCATACATTCCAAAGAAGTAGTGACTCAAGAAGTTATTTCTCTTTTCTTGTAATGCTTTTTAGGGCAAAGGTGGTTGTCGAACTTTAATGAATACTATTATGCAACTAAGAAAGATCTGCAATCATCCATTCATGTTTGCACATATTGAAATGGCTATAGCTGAACAAAATTTTTTAAATGTACACAACGGTAACCCACCAACCAGTCTGCCAGTGCCAACACAAGTTGAAGGTAAAACGTTGTATCGAGCTTCAGGAAAATTCGAACTGTTGGATAGAATTCTACCTAAGTTAAAAGCTTGTGGACATCGTGTACTGATATTTTGTCAAATGACAAGCTTAATGACAATTATGCAGGTTAGTTTCCTAATGTCTCATTTCTTTGTGTAACCACTCGAGATATTCAATCCAGTTTTGATTTTGTATGCTTTGGTAGATTCACAGTCTTATGCCAATTTGATAGTTTGTACTCATCTTTCAAGGTGATAATTAATAGTCCTATGTTGTGTAAGGACCTACTTCAGAAAAACTAAGCGTCGCACAAAGTAATTATCTCGGGCGTATAGTTTATGTGTACTTGCATGGTGTATTGTTCGCACTCCATGCAGTGCTTCTGAAGTATGCATGATTGTTATACCTTTTCTCTTTCTTTAAGTTTGAAATTTTTAGCTACATGAATTAAATTTATTGGTTCAAAGTCTGGTGAATATTTTCAACTGTGGTTGCTTGTGTGTGTCGTTTATTCGGTTTATGTCTATATCTTATGCAGACATATTATTGCTCGGAAATATATGTGCAAGTTTAAAACAGCTTTACGAAAATTTGTTCATATTACTAATTCCGATGCTTTTGAAAACTAGTTACAATTATATCTCACGTATTGCCTTGATAAACTAGTCAGATTCACTCCTAACTTCGTTCAGTACAGCTTTCAAGTAGATAAAGACAATGTAGGAAAATCATATATTATTCTAGTGGTTAACTAGGTTTTCGTTGTTGCATGCCAAAAAATATTGGTTATTTATGAAACAAACTTCGTGTAACGTGAGCACTGAGATTGTTGCACAGTGAGTGTCAGAAAGCTATGAAAAGTGATTTGGAGAGCAAAGAAAATAAGTGAACAGAAGCAAGACAGGGAGCAAGCTATAAAGAAAGCAACCTCAAGTATACATTCGAAGAGGCTTTCCTTACCTTAGTTCTATTTTTCAATAATAGGAGAAATAAGAAAGCTGCAGCGCTATTATCACTGGTTTCGATTCCGAGGCATATCTGATTTCATCTCAAGCTTCTGAATGGCATGGCCACTGTGACTCCAGTCAAGAAGTCGTGAAGCACCAACATGCCAACCGAATGCAACTATACTCCATCCCATGTCACGGTTTAACGCACCGATCACTTACCTGCTTCTTGCAGTCAGACCGAGGGCTGTAGCGCAATGAATGGCGTATGGAGGGGGGGAGGGGGGGGGCGACTGTTAGGGCGAAACATTAGTAGCAAACGCATATCCAAGCCTCCGAAGTCCGTGTTTTGTGACGACGGTTTTCATCTCTCCCTAGTACGCACCACCACTCAAGAGAATTACTTATGTGTTGTTCCCGCGGGTGTGAGCAATCCCATAGGGGGAAACGGGATCAAAAACAGAATAGTTAGATATTCTAGCCTAGGAGTGACCGGGTCTCAGAGATCTTAGAGCAGTTCTGTCCACACCAAAGCGTTTTACGCCCAACTTGTAACACCATGACCGACTTCGTGATGGTAGTAGAGGATTGACCGTTTCAACTCTTTTTTGATATATGATTGCAATTCTTATCTGCACCAACCCTCATGCAACTATCCAGATACATGGGATTCTTGACTACTTGTAACGGTTCACTGGTGAGAGGGAATTCACATACACATACCAATCCTATGAACTCAGTTTGCATTTTGATGGTTCTGAGTACATATAATAATTATGGTTATTGCTCGCTTTCTTATTAAGCGTGATTCGAGTATCTTGTATGTTGTAGCACAAGTAAACAATATCGTCTGCAAACTCATCTAGTAAAAGGTCTACACCTCCGCCACTGTACACCAGTGTTGTTTCAAGAATGTCGTTGATGGCAAAACTGAAGAGGAATGGTGAAATTGGTGAGCCTTGACTAACAACACTTTGTTTAGAACAATGGAGAGTTGTAAGCCTCCACTCTTCCTTAAGTGTTTTGTTATTATCCTGTCAAAAAACTTCTTGGGGCTTTCCAATACACTATTTTGTGAAACAAATTATTGAGATCCTTAATGTTTTTTGGTCTGAAATACATGTGGTGATGTTTGAAGATCTACTGGATGGTTAACACATGAATTGTGCATCCACGACCTAAACAAGACCTGGTTTCCTCCTCTCGGACCCGTTTGTCACCTCTTGTGCAGCTTGCGAAAAGTAGCATTAACCAATATTTTAGATGCTACAGGTTGCAGACTCACACCGTGATAATCATCACATACGTTACGCGTACCCTTTTAAAGGATGGATACAACAATAGATTCGTTTTAGAGCAATCGAAGACTTTAAATACCCCATACGTTCTCAGACAACCCAGTCAGTTCCCTCACTACAGTCTTATCTCCATTTTAAAGAACTGGAATTATGTTATGTTGAGATCAAATTGTCTCCGTCGAGTTCCCTATGGCTTTTTCATACTTGAAGTTCTTACTGGATCTCGGCCAGCATTAACTGACCACGGAGCATAGAACATCAAAGTCTATGTTACTGGATTAGTAGGTGCGATAAATTGCCTTTTGAAATGCTCCACTCAACGTTCAGGGTACTTGCAGTGGTTGTTGAGCAGCGTTAACATCTCAGATTTGACACTAAACTTCTTGTCTTCAGTGACTTGAATATAGTTAAGCAGCTTTCAGTCATTGCCAGATGAAACTGCTGTTTCCATCTCACGCGTTCTGGCTACCGGGGCTTCCTAATCTATCTCACCAGGTGCTTGCACATACCGTTGTACTCACTGTCTGCTGGAGTACACTGACGAGCATCAAAAAGTTTCAAGGTTCTCATAGGAACATTGTGTTTAATAGGCGAACATTGTTTGAAACTGTTAGCAACTTTACTTACTTTTATGGTGGCTTCAAGGTGTAGTCAATGCTCATGGTTAATTTCTGGAATTACAACAACTAGTCTTGCGTCTATTTTGGTTTAGTATTTAGGTGCATACTGAAAGTAAACAGTTTGCTCAGGCAAACCTGTTTTGGACGACAACTTTTGACAGTGAAAACGCAGATGAACTTGTCGTACACCAAATCATGATCATAATTCAAACATGTACCGAAAATTCCGGCATTCCTGAATACACTCACTCCATCAGTAGCTATTAGAGTCCAGGCTTCAGTGGCAAAGGAAAGATACTAAGTATCTCAATAGTGGTATCTTTGTTGAAAGTTTATGTAGGTTAAAAGACTGTAGGACTTAGTATCTATCGGCGGCTTGATGACTCTTCTATAAGCCTAGAGACCCAGCTTACGCATTCAGGTCCCCAGCTAGCATTACTACGTTTATCGAGCGTACTTTGTATTGAAGGTTATTCTATCGTTGGTAGGACTCATCCTTAACTGTGTTCAAACTGTATCTCGTCGGAGCGTAGACGGAGGTGATGGTCAGATATCATCTAGCTTGCCATTTACTTTTTGCTCTGATTAAACTTTCAAACTAACATCACTACGGAGGACTTTTAGGTGAAAAATCAGTTCACGTGTTCATTTTCGACTGTAACATTTATCATGATGATGATGATTCCAGTAACGATAAAAAGGAGACAGTGAATATTTGAGTGAAAAATTGGTTCCACAGTGACTTTGGTTTCTCGCACCAAGATTTGATGAATGCTTTGTTTTCATTGTAAATGTTAGTCTGTTGTTTTCACGAAAGCTGTGTGGTTTATTGGTTTGGGCAACTGACTTTCAACCAGAGGGGCATAGGTTCGAAACCCGTTTCACCTACTGAAGAATGGACAGTCAAGTATTGTCATTAGCCTTCACATAATAGCTGTGGTTCGTTGCCAGCTGCACGTGATTGCTGAGGGCATTTCGATTTTCCTATTGTTTGTATGAGGGTTTTAATACTGCCTGGTTAACCAGACTTTGATTTAAACGGACCCCTGCCCGAGTCATTGATCCACAAAGCAGTAGAGCAACGTCAAATACTACATTTTCATGGTTGTCGTTGATCAAAGTAGATTCATACACCAATCTTCCTTTCTGGTTCGTGAAGCCATCGAGTCCCTAAGTGGATTCCTCCATACTCTTGGATGCAGTGACCAGAACTGAACTTTCACTTGCGTGAAAATACTTCTGTCACATGAAGGTTATTGATTGAAACTTTGAATGCATTGGCGTATGAGTCCATTTCAATAGGGTGACCGATCTTATTCCATCTCCAACCATACTAAGACGTTCAGGTGGTGTCTGAGTACATACGATAGACTATTTCCTTATTTTTGTGTCTTATTTACTCAATTTTATTCAGTAGTTAATGTTAAGTTATTTTTGCTTTCATCTAGGACTACTTCGACTATCGAAATTTCCGTTACCTGCGTCTTGATGGAACTACACGTTCAGAAGATCGTGGTGAGCTGCTGGTGAAATTCAACGATGCTTCGGAGGATATATTTATTTTCTTGCTTTCAACTCGTGCTGGTGGCTTAGGTCTGAATCTTCAAGCGGCAGATACGGTTATTATATTTGATTCAGATTGGAATCCACACCAAGATCTACAGGCTCAGGATCGTGCTCATCGAATCGGTCAGCAGAATGAGGCATGTCCCTGTCAAGATAATTTGTTCGTGTATTTTGTTTTTGAATTTTCATTTCTGGCGTAATACGATATGACCGTTCATATGAATACTAAAGTTGTCAACTTTCGGTTTGACTGTTTTTTGAAAACCATAGATGGTCTAAAATAATTATTTTCACATCGACCTTAAATAGCTCTACCGTTTTTCTTGCTCTGAAAATTAAACGTCATATTATTCATGTCATAACAGTTTTTAAAAAATTATTTGTGCTAGTTTCTGTTCCTAGTGTCAAAGTGTTTAGTTATTTGAACCAACCAACTGTACCGCCAGATTTCCTGTTTCTGTCAGTTATCTGTACAGGTAGTACCGTGTGTGTCGGTTATATTAGTCACCTTCAATTGGCCGCTTCATATACGGCATTATTTTAGTCTTGAATGGACTATTCGACCAATAGTTGGTCTACGTGGTTGTGCTTTAGACAGAAGTGTTCAGTAATCATCTTTAGGTTATTAAGTTATTTTATAACCTGTCCTACTGACTACTGTCTAACGATGTCATGTCCTTGAACATATAATCTCCATAGTTCAGGGGTTATTTTGCCATACTACTTTTTGACTGCTTTTACCCCTATGTTCACTTTTCCAAATTCAGATGATCTAGTTCCATGTTAATTAAATGCATGTAGAAGAAGTGATATGATAATTTCTCGATTAGAAGTTTGTAGTTCTATCTAAGTAGGATCAATAGTTCTCATTTTTAGCCAATTTCAATCGGTGATTCGATGGTCATGTAATAGATTGAAAAGAATAGTTTGTTGATAAAATTCATTTGAATCCCCCAAAATATAAATTATTGACCATATATTCAACCGTATCTTTTTTCAGGTTCGGGTCCTACGTTTGATTTCCATCAATTCAGTTGAGGAGAAAATCTTAGCAGCAGCACGTTTCAAACTGGATGTGGATCAAAAAGTTATTCAAGCCGGTATGTTTGATCAGAAGTCTACTGGTATGGAACGGCGGCAGTTTTTACAGGCATTACTTGAACAAGACGAAGAAGCCGATGAAGAGGAAGATGAAGCTCCGGATGATGAAACCATTAACCAAATGTTAGCGCGTAACGAAGAAGAATTTGAAATCTATCAACGGTTAGATGCTGAACGTCAATTCGCTGAGAGTCAGCAAGCGAAACGAGAGCCGCGTCTAATGGAATTTTCAGAATTACCAAAGTGGATTGTGCGAGACGATATCGAGGTGACTGTCATTTTTGTCAAAACACTTTTTGCTCGCCGAAATTTCCAGTCTTTTCTCAGGAGATGACAATCTTGTGTTTTTATATATTTTCTCCGTAATCACTCTTTAGAATTTTATGTAATTCTTCTTTTTTTAAGTCGTTATAATAAAAGTTGTGTTCTTGAAAGTCAGAGTGGGAGTGTGACCTGACTGATCCAACTTGTGCGTTGGATAATTAGCTTAGAGTGTGAAAAACCTCAGCTAAGTAGGATAGAAGATTTTTAACTTTTGTTAACCTATACAAGAAAGCTAGATTTGTTCAGATAATCTAGACTGCCGTTTCCTAACACGTGTTTTCATTTTTTTTTTATGCTGCAAAGCTTGAACGAAGCTTACTATTGGAAGAGAGTGTGTTTGGAATGAAACGTCAACGTAAAGAAGTGGATTATTCAGATGCACTTACAGAGCGACAATTCCTGAAAGCAATCGATGAAGGTAGTCTGGAAGAAGCTGAAGAACGTCAGCGTCAAAAACGAGCAGCACGTAAAAAGCGTAAGCGGATAGATGTAAGTTTTTTTTGTATGAATAATATCGTTCTCAGTGTTGCAGCACACATTTTAGTGTTACATTGTACTAAAGCATGCCTTATTGGTTTGATGAATCAGTATACAAAACTTATTATTTGTCCCCATTTTTAATCGTCTAAATGTTCTGAGTAATAGGCGATAAAGTTAATCACTTATGAAACTACTTCACACCGAACTCCGAAAGGTTTGAGATAACAAATCTGTAATCCATAATCCTATTTCCAGTTAACTGAACTCAAAATCGGAATAAAATGTGTATAGTGTATCTTATAATCTCGATACAAGGTTGTCCCATTACGGAAATTTATCTGCATACTTTACATTGTAAAAATGGAGTCAATTTTGCGAACTTGTAATCCAGTTGACAGAGAGAATTTCCTCCTTTTACTTGATGCACCAATCAAGTTAGTGTATGAAGTACGTTGTACATGCAGTTCTCTCTCAAGTATTGAGCTTGGAGATTTACGGAAAGTAATGTATAGAAAAAGTAAGTTTTACATGATTTACAGTCCAAGTTTAGTATTCAATAGATTTTTACATAATTTTTTTGACGGAATTCTGCACATTAACATTAATTGCCTTGTGTCAGGATCACTTTTTTATCTACTTAAAGATTAGGTTCAAAATGAACAATTACTGTGTATATCAAATAGCCAGACTACTATCTGGGAAGAGATCAACTCACATGAAACCAATGAGAGATAGTGAAGGAAACCTAGTTACCAAAGAGGAAAAACAAAGGAAACGATCGGCTGACCACTTCAAAAAACTCTTGAATCGACCACCACCACCACCATCTCCAACTCGTCTATAAATACCACCAATAGCTCAGCCACAGAACTACCAGTGAACACAGGCCCTCCGACAAAAGTTGAAGTGAAGTCCTGAACACCAAAAAGTTACTCAAAGCCGGGAAGCAGCAGGGCCAGGTGGAATTCCACCGGAAGCACTGAAAACAGACACAGAGACAACAGCGGACATGCTCACACCATTACTGCAGAAGGTTTGGAAGGAAGAAAAGGTACCTGCTGGTTGATTGGAATAAGGGCTACCTTGTCAAACTCCCAAAGAAGGGAGACCTAAGTCTTTGCAAGAACTGGCGAGGAATCATGCTCCTGTCCACCCAAAGCAAACAAAATACTAAGCCGCATCATCCTGGAGAGACTAAAGGATACTCTGGATTCAATATTACGACCAGAACAGGCTGGCTGGCTGGCTTCGCCTTAGGAAGAACAAATCAAGTGGGGATCAAATTACAACGCTACGCATCATCATAGAACAGTGTATAGAATGGCAGTCAACTCAACTTCATCGATTTTGAAAAGGCCTTCGACAGCATCGACCGAGAAGTAATTTGGCAGACTGCTGCTTCAACATCACGTAGTGCGACAAATCTTTATCAACCTCATTCAACAAGTATATGAAGACGCCACATGCCAAGTAATGCATAATGGTAAGCTCAGTGATGCCTTTGAATTGAAGTGAAGACAGAAGTAAGACAAGGCTGCCTACTATCACTGATGATCTTCCTGATTGTGGCCGACTAGATTATGCAACAAACAGTGAGGAGCTGTGAGAAGAGGAGGATACTCCGGACCGGGGAAAAGATCCTAGGAGATTTGGATTTCGCCGATGACTTGTGTCTAATGTCACACAAACTTGAAGATCTACAGGCGAAATCCAACAAGTTGACAGAAGAGGCGAGGCAGTGAAAACGGGACTTCAAGTGAATGTAGAGAAGACAGGGGTAGGTGATGAAGATACCCAACCAACAACAACAACAAACATCAATCACCATCAGCAGGCGAAACTCAAAGGCAGTACCTCTTTCACCTATCTAGGCAGTACCGTTTCAACTACAGGCGGAACAGACGAGGGTGTCAAATCCAGCCAGGATCGGAAAGACAGTAAGACAGGCGTTCATTAACCCGAAACCATTGCGGAGATCTTCTGCACTCAGCATAAAGAACAAGATCCTGATTTTCAACGCCAACGTCAAGTCAGTGCTTGTATACAGTTCAGAGACCTGGCACATTACGAAAGGCATTTCCAACAAACTACAGACATTCAATAGCAACTGTCTACGCTCGTTACTGAAGCTCAGATAGCCAGAAGGAATCAGCAACAAGGAACTCTGGTCGGACAACGAACCAACCAAGAACCTATCGCTCAACAAATATGCAGAAGGAAATGGAGATGGATTGCGCATGCACTGAAAAGACCATTTGGGGACATCACGCGCCAGGCCCTCGAATGGAACCTAGATGGGAAACGACGAGTTGGGCGTCCGAAGTGAGTGTGACATGGATGAGATGGTGTGAGGAAGAAATGAGAGCTTGTGGGCAGTTGTGGATCCAGGTTGAAAAAAATGCAGAGAACAGAGTGCACTGGAGACGTACTACTGAAGCTCTATGTTTCACTAGGACGCCAAGGGACAAATAATAATAATAACCTTTTGTAGTATCTAAATAAACTGAGGCACTTAAAACTATCTAAAAAGGAACACAGTACCAAGTTTCATGTGTTCTCAAACTTTGAGCTAAAAGTTTCAAACTAATTTTTCTGTTTAATTTTGAACAGTCAACCACTGTCTTCAACCCATTCGTCGTATGTATGGCTTTACCAGCACAGAGTAAGAAATGGCTAGTAAGGTACACTAACTTTATCATTATTTCATTTTCATTGACAAATCATTTAATCGCGTTACATATAACAAGACTTAATAAAATGGTATTTTGCTAGTATCGACTAGTCACAAAAAAGCATATAACAAACAAGATATACAACTATTACTTTCTGCCTTACCTCCCAACCTTGATGATCTTGAAGCCACGTATAGACTTCTGAAGCCATAGTGCAGCATCGCTTTTAACAGTTTCTTTTGTTGTTGTATGATACATGGTATACGAACTTCAGGTAGTTGTATATTAGACGAGGACATTTTGCCGCATACCCAGTCAGTAGAGACGGCAGAGGTGGATGATGAAGATACCCAACCAACAACAGCATCAGCAACCAACCAGGAGCCCGTCGCCCAGGAAATATGCAGAAGAAAGTGGAGATGGATTGGATTGGGGATACACTGAGAAAACCGTTTGGGGACATCACTCTCCAGGCCAGGCTGTCGAGTGGAATCTAAATAAGGGATGACGAGTTGGGCGTCCCAGCTGAGGGTGACATAGAGGAGCTCGTGTGAGGAAGAAATGAAAGCTTGTGGGTAGACGTAGAGCTAGTTTCAAAAGACTACAGAGAACAGAGTTGAATGAAGACGTGCTACTGAAGCCTTTTGTTCCACTAAGAACCCAAGAAACAAATAATAATAATAATATTGTAGTTGAACCACGAACTTCTAGCAAATTGCTAGTAAATACATCCGAATTATCCTGCTTTCTTCGGGGCATTTCACTTTGGAGTAATATGGAAAACGAGTGTTTTACCTCTTTGTCTTAACCACATTCACTGACTAACATTCAGAGTCCCTAACGTAACGAAAATCATTGTAGTAAGACAGCGTTAATGCTAGATTGTTATCATAAATTAATTTTTCTGAATGACATCGCTGTTGTATCTGAAGTTTACTTTTTTCCCTGGACTCATTTGCGTCAATAGCGATACTGTTTATTATTGTCAATTGAAAGAAGAAGCTATATTCCGGTGATATAGCAGCTAACTGTGACTTTTGGGCACCAATATATATTTTTGGAGGTAATTATTACCAGGAAAAATGAATTAGAAACACAAATATTCAAATTTTCTTTGTCAAGCTATTTATCACAATGTCATCTTTTTTTGATGAGACAAAGATAGTTAATACACTCGAACTATGTCTCGCCAGAAATACTGATAAAACACAGCTGTTTAGTGTCAAGCATATATATTATGTATACGCAGACACAAATTCATGTATGAGTTGTTTTGTTGACGAACGTTATAGTTTTTTGTAAAAAGCTTCATGCGTCTGTCTTACGTCTTTCCATTCCATGGAAATAATTTTGATGAAATCAATAAATAAATCTTTTTGGTTGCATTCATCTTTTCTAAACCAATTATTTTTTTCTAAAGGATTCTAGTTTTATGGATGATGGTAGCTCTGAAGCTGGAAGTGTTATTATGGCTGCACCACAGGCTGCCAAACGACGTCGTGGACGTCCACCTCATGGCTCTTCAACTGGTAGTACATCAAGGTCATCGAACCAGTCGATTTCACCAAAACTTGCTAAAAAGTTACAACGTCTGTTGGATATTGTAATAGAATATAAGGACAAGTATGTTTTTCTCTTTAATTTAAAAAATTCCGTAAATATATAATCATCTCGTTAGAATGTTATTATATTTCTTTTTCGTGTTTACAATGTACTTTCATTTTATTTTCATCCTGTTTGTCAATGTGAGAGCATGAGTATTGCCATAAAAATAGACGATTCCTTAATCTATAAATTATGTATGTATGTTTTCTTGTTATCTGGGATCGTGATCATATTCTCGCTGGGAAATTTCTCAATGGAGCTGGCTAGTTAACGTATGTTTTTGTATAGCAATTTTGAATACTTGCTTCCTGTGTAGAAATAACATAGATGCCGAGCTTCTAACAGCTTCCAGCATTAACCTTATAATAATTATGGTCGCATCAGTAATGCTTGAAGTTACTTTTAAGTGCCCAACCGATAGCTGCTACCTTGACGTGGAAATCGGGCTTGCATATCACATTGACCCAACGAGCTATGCTGGTGGAACATTTGTTCCCTCGGGGTCCTACCATACAAGAAAGGTCTCTTGAATAGTGGTAAGACAAAAAGCATTTATCGTTGTAGTGTAAATTACTACATCGTGTTGGGGTGGGGGGGGGGATCTGAAGGCGAAGTCGTGCTGCCAGCTGGGTGGGGTTTACAGCCGTAATGTGCTTCCCTTCGACGACCAGCAGTGCCATGCTGATGCTGCCTTCTCAGTGGAAGGGGAGGGGTTATAAAAGATCGGCCAAAATAACACTACCGTACCCCATGGTTTAATGGGCTGGTTGTGTTGGTTCATTTGTCATTTCTTTTCGACCATCCAGCCCCAAAACAACAAAAGTTCAAAACAACCATACATAAAAGACTGCGTGTGACAGGCCTCAAGCAGATATCCGATGGGCTTTGCGGTCACACAAATCTCTTTCACGGTGTGGGCACCCGGGAAGTGTCAACCGCCCTCACAACTCTGTCACCATTCAAGTTTCTTCAGACTTCTATCCACCTCCTCCATCATTACCTTCTAATCTTCCTTCACGTTTCTCAATTAACGATACTACATCATCTTCAATTTCTCCGAGCGCGTATATGCCTGGGTCTCAAAATTTGGCAACAAAACCACTGCGGGTACTGCTGGACAACGAAAACACCAAAGCCGTGTTCAGTGAGAAGTTAGCTAGGCAGTTATCGAAACAAAAGACTACCACTCATCCAGAAAAAGCTTGGTGCCATCTCCAGTCTTCTATAAAAGCAGTGCTGAAGACAGTAGCTGACTCCAAAATAGTGGCTAAAAAAGCCAGTGGATGCCAGCAGCTTCTTCCGAACTAATGGATGCACGTGAACTCATCTCTACAGGCTCTGAGTACAGCGAAGAGCGAGCGCAACCTAAAAGTCGATTAAGACAAAGTCTTCAGTGACTGCGAACAGTGGTGGGCAGCGAAGGCTGAGATGGAAAAGGCAGCGGCGAGTGGTAACAGTAGACAGTTGTTTAGACTTATTCAGGAGACTGGGGGGAAAAGGTCAACAACGCTTAGCGAGACTAGCGGAGATGGACGGGTCTAGGATTCACTCGCAGGGGGGACGACTGGAACGATGGGCAGAACACTTCGAGGAGCAGTTTAACTGACCTGGCCATTGCGTTGTCTGCTATTCAGTCGAACCCTGAATAGAAAATTGGGATAAGACCCCCCCAACACTTGCAGATGTTGAGAAAGCTGTAGGTAACTTGAAATGAGGAAGGGCAGCAGGACCAGACGGACTAACTCCTGAGGTATACAAGGATGGTGGTAAAGTGCTCTTAGTCAGACTAACGGAAGCACTAACTAGTATATGGGAATCAAATACGATCCCCTCTGACTAGTCTAAATCACTGATTATTCCAGTCTTCAAGAAAGGTGAGAAGTCCTCTTGTGATAACACGGAGGAACCAAGATCCTAGGTGTATAATTCTTCAACGCCTGAGTGGAGCTCGGGAATAGGAAGTCTGGAAAAACCCTGAAGGCTTTAGACCCGGGCGCAGGTGTATCGACCAAATATTCACACCACCTAAATGCGAATTGTTGTCCCAAGATTGATCTTTGACGGTGCCTCGGCTAACAATAGAGAGTTTAGTGGTTGAGTGTGTTGGCCACTTCACTTACTTGGGGAGTAGGGTCAGCCTTGGTGGGTCGGTGGCCGATGAAATCTCTGCACGAATACAAAAGGCTCGACTGGCTCTTACTAACTTATGCCACCTGTGGCGCCATCGTGATATCCGACTGTCTATTAAGGGTCGCGTGTACTGCACAGCAGTCCGCTCTGTTCTACTGTATGGCTGTGAAACGGCCATTGAAGCAGAAGACATGAGAAGGCTTCAGGTGTTTGACCACCGTTGCCTTCGTAGTATAGGCCGTATTCTGTGTCACCACGTGAGTAACGCAGACGTCATGAGTAGAGTTTTGGGGAGAAGAGGTGAATCTATTGATGAGGTTATGAACCTTCATCGACTGAGATGGTTGGGATACGTATTACATATGCCTAGTCTCCGATTGCTTCATCACACAATGTTGGCTGAGGTGGGTCCAGGCTGGAAAAAGGCCCAAGGCGGCCAGACGAAAACATAGCCCCAATGTATGAAGTCTTTGACTGTTGGTTTGAGCCATGTGGAGCGATACAGACTAGTGGGTTGGGGTCCGTGGGACAAGATGAATTAGTGGTTGGTGACTCTAGGTGACATGGCTCAGAACCGATGTCAGTGGCGCACACACACATTGTCCTCATCTTAACGACGCTATACCGAATCTCACCATTATCTCATTCTTCCTTTCTCTCTTTTCGTACTTTATATTTCTTTGACTGAATTTTCTTCATCTTGCACTTCATTGCCTTTTACTTGATGTACTGATATGCCGTTACGCAATAATGCCTGGTCCTATGTTGATTTGGATGGATGGACGTTTAAGCAATTTGTATAAAACGGAGAGCCTACATTTATAGTTATATGAAAATTCATCATCTATGCTCGTTATTCTGTCTAGGTAGTTGGTATTCGATCAAAAAAATCAAATTTATTTGCAATATCTATAGCATGATTCTTGGCTAATAGTTCCTATCATTGTAGCTCACGCTAACCCCTTTATTGATGTCGGCTTTGTTTTTTAAGTGTTCTACAATCATGATAGTGATCTTAACCTGGAATCATGGTCACTCGAACTTGGTATCTGAATAAATAGTGCATTGCATATATGAATATGGGCTTTGCTCAGAATAATGATAACATAAATGATATCAAGGCCTCACACATTCCGAATTAAGTCATTTACTACGAACATAGTGGTCACAAAATTTTTTTGAAGCCATTGCACTTAAATCAAGAAACAAAACGAAACGCACTCAACCACCTTGTGCACATCCGTGCAGTACGCAATGAGCCACATCTATTGTATGAGGGCTAGTGTCACTACCTGCCTGCCCAAATCTCAATAGATGGAGCATGTCTTGGACCTGTGACCCGCTGGTTCATATTCATCTCCCTAAACCACTGAGCCACAGCTCCACAACTTTAACCACAGCTTGGTAACCATTCGTTTCTGAATATACTTTAAAGTGAACATATAATTATGTCAAGTTATTCGTTCGATCCACTGGTCTGACTTCAAGCCGACTCTTTCAATCGTCATACGAACCTATCAGCTTTTTTAGTAACTCTTTGTTGATTTATATAACAAATCCCATTTGTTGATGATTTCTTAGAGATCAAAGGATTCTCAGTGAGCCTTTCATGAAATTACCGACAAGGAAAGAGCTACCAGATTATTATGAAGTGATCAAGAAACCGGTAGACTTTAATCGTATTCGACAGCGTGTGAAAGATGGGAAATACCGATCAGTTGATGAATTGGAAACTGACATTTTACTTTTATGTAAAAATGCTCAAACGTATAATATGGACGGAAGTTTAGTAAGCCAGCTTTATACATTCATTTTTTGCTGAATTTTCACAGTGATTAATTCAAAGTGCTTAGTAAATTTGAACTAGAAAACAATAAAACAACTACTAAAAATTAAGAATTCGGCCCATTTGTTTAAAGAATAAAGTAGTTGATTTGATGTTTGGGTTTCTGATGAATGCATATTTCTGAAAATGCATTTTAGTTTTGATATTATTATTATTTTATTATTAGTCCCTTGGGTTCCTAGTGGAACATAGGGCTTCAGTAGCACGCCTCCAGTGACCTCTGTTCTCTGAGATCTTTTGAACCTGGTTCCACGACAGCCCAGAAGCTCTCATTTCCTCCTCGCATGACCTCCTCCATGTCACCCTCGGACGTCCAACTCGTCGCTTCCCATGGGGATTCCACTCGAGGGCCTGACGCGTGATGTCCTCAGTCGGCCTTCTCAGTGCATGGCCAATCCATCTCCACTTCCTCCTGCATATTTGTTGCGTGATAGGTTCTTGGTTGGTTCGTTCCCAGAGTTCCTTGTTGCTTATTTTTTCTGGCCATCTGATCTTCAGCAGCGAGCGTAAGCAGTTGTTGATGAATGTCTGTAGTTTATTGGAAATCCCTTTCGTGACGCGCCAAGTCTCTGAGCCATACAAGAGCACTGACTTGACGTTGGTGTTGAAAATCCGTATCTTGTTCCAGATGCTGAGTGCAGAAGATCTCCACACTGGTTTCAGGCTAATGAACGCCTGTCTTGCTTTTCCGATTCTGACTTTGACGTCCTCGTCCGTCCCGCCTGTAGTTGAAACAGTGCTTCCTAGATAAGTGAAGGAGGTTACTTCCTTCAAGTTTCTCCCGTTGACGGTGATTGGAGTTTGTTGTTGTTGTTGTTGATGGTGGTGGTGCGGTATCTTCATCACTTCTGTCTTCTCTATATTCACCTGAAGTCCCGTCTTGGCTGCCTCTTCTGTCAACTTGTTAGTTTTTGCCTGCAGATCTTCAAGTTTATGTGACATTAGGCATAAGTCATCGGCGAAATCCAAGTCTTCTAGGTTCTTTTCCGTCGTCCAGTGTATCCCCCTCTTCTCGCTGCCTACTGTTTGCTGCATGATCCAGTCCACCACAATAAGGAATATCATGGGGGATAGTAGGCAACCTTGTTTCACTCCTGTCTTCACTTCAAAGGCATCACTGAGCTTCCCATTGTGGATTACTTGGCATGTGGCATCTTCATATAGTTGTTGAATGAGGCGGATAAAGGTTTGCGGTACTCCGTAGTATTGAAGCAGTTTCCAAATTACTTCTCGGTCGACGCTGTCAAAGGCCTTCTCAAAGTCGATGAAGTTGAGGTAGAGAGCTGATTGCCATTCTACGCTCTGTTCTATGATGATACGAAGTGTTGCAATTTGGTCAGCACATGATTTGTACTTCCTGAAGCCTGCCTGTTCCGGTCGCAGTTTTGAATCCAGTGCGTCTTTAAGCCTCTCCAGGATGATGCGGCTTAATATTTTACTTGGGGTGGACAGGAGAGTGATTCCGCGCCAGTTCTTGCAAGCACTGAGGTCTCCCTTCTTCGGCAGTTTGACAAGGTAACCCTTCTTCCAATCGTCCGGTACCTTCTCTTCCTTCCACACCTTCTGCAATAGTGGTGTGAGCATGTCCGCTGTTGTCTCTGCATCTGTTCTCAGTGCTTCTGGCGGTATTCCATCTGGTCCTGCTGCTTTCCCGCATTTCAGTAGCTTTATGGCGTTCAGGACTTCCATTTTCGTTGGGGGATTTATGTTCACTTGTAATTCAGCGGCTGCAGGTGGTATTTCTGGACGAAGTGCAGGTGGTGGTCGATTCAAGAGCTTCTTGAAGTGGTCGGCCCATCGTTTCCTCTGTTTCTCTTCTTTTGTAATTAAATTTCCTTCTTCATCTTTTATTGGTTTCATCTGTGTTGGTCTCTTCCCTGATAGCAACCTGGTTATTTGATACAATGTCGTCAGGTCTCTCTTACCTGCAGCCTGTTCTGCTTCACTTGCCAGTGTTTCGTAGAAGTGTCTTTTGTCTTTGCGTGCACTCTTCTTCACTTCTTTGTCCAGTGTTTTATACATTGTGCTCAGTTCCTCTTGTCGTTGAGCATCCTTGCACTGGTTTATCTTCTGCTTCACCATCCTCCTCTCCTCTATCAGCTTCCAGGTATCCGTCGAGATCCATTCCTTGTCTTCTTTCTTCTTCCTTCCTAATACTGTTGTGCAGGTTTCTTTCCACATAGCTTTCAAAGACTTCCAGTGTTCTTCCACACAGGTTTCTTCAGGGATGTCCCTCGATGTCTCCCATTTTGTCTTGATGGCTGCCTTGAAGATCTCCTTTGTAGTTTCATCCTTCAGTTTCCTAGTGTTGTACTTGAATTGAGGTCTATCACCAGCTTCCTTGAAGGCTTTTAACTTGATTTGGAAGGTTCCTTGCACTAGATAGTGGTCTGAACCTACATCTGCTCCTCTTCTTGACCTTGTGTTAAGTAGACTGCGTCTCCATTTTCTTGAGATTGAGATAAAGTCGATTTGATTTTTAGTGTGTCCATCTGGTGAAGTCCATGTCGCTTTGTGGATATCCTTGTGCCTGAACACACTGCCTCCAATCACCAAATCGTTGAATGCACAGAATTCTGCAAACAATTCTCCATTCTCATTCATTTCACCTAGCGCCTCTCGACCCATGGTTAGTTCTCTTCCTGTGTTGTCACCTCCCAGTTTGGCATTCATGTCGCCCATTAGAATTTTGATATCGCCAACTGACGTCTTGTCCAGTGTTGATTGAAGTTGTCTGTAGAATTCCTCCTTTTTCTCTTGCTCTGCATTATTTGTAGGTGCATAACATTGTATGATTGTGACCTTTCTTCCTTTTGAGTTGAATCTTGCTGTCATGATCCTGGAGGAGATTGGTTCCCACTGCATGAGAGCCTTCGATGCTCTTGAGGACATCATGATAGCCACTCCCTCAGTGTGCTCGTGGTTGGCGTCTGGGTGACCGGAGTAGATTATTGATTCTCCAGTTGACAGTTTGGAGAGTCCACTCCCATTCCATCTGCTTTCGCAAATTCCAAGCACTTCTATGTTATACCTTCTCATCTCCTTTGCAATCTGGGCTGCCTTACTGGGTTCAAACATCGTACGGACATTCCATGTCCCCACGTTTACTTTCGCTTTCATCGAGAGAAGACACATCGGCCAATTGGCTTCCCGAAGGCTTTCACCAACTGGCGTCATTTCGCCTCTCCGATTCCAGCGGGGAATAAGTTTGTTTTCATTTTTTATATTTTGTTTGTGCTTTGAAGTTTCTTTAGCGGTTAGATTTGTTTTACGGGGTAGGGTTGCTAGCCCTATGCCCAACCTTCCCTCTTTACCCGGGCTTAGGACCGGCTAGTAACTAGTAAACTAGTTAACCAGGCGAGGTTTAGTTTTGATATGAAATAGTGCAATTCACTATCCATGAATATATTGCTGTACTTAAGCTGCAAGCTATGTCCATCATGTGAATAATATTTTTCACGTCCCGATCCTCACCAAGTAGAGGCGTTTGTAACAAATGGCATGTTAGAAGTTAAGGGGGTAAAACAAATGAACCACAGCTCTGCAGAGTGACTGCATTTCATGCTATTTTTCACTGATATCAGAATACGTTTTTAACTGTTTTCGAGTTTGATCTATAAGGAGCTTGGGAGTGTTGTATTCATCTCGCTGACTCTCAGTGGAATCCAGAACGCGCATTTCGTCCTACTTGAAACTCACCAGCTGGATGTACCTGCACCCCGGTGAGTAATGTTGTTCCACTGAGACTCGAACCTCAGTACTTATCGCTTGAATCGCCAAGCCTTATCCACTAGACCACTAGGACACGAGAGCTACCACTTGTTCAGCAGGTATCATTTGTTTGATACTGAAAAATTCCCCGTTGCTATACAAGGTCGAATTAGTCAAGCTTGGGAGTGATAACTAGCATTAGTTTAATGTAAAATTTTTATTTGCTGTTTGCAAATTATGTCTACTTTTGATTTTATGTGAATATCGAAACGTGTGTCAGTTACTACGCTTTCTTTTCATTATCAGTTGTAAATTTTTTCAATTACATAGACCCCTGTAGTTTGATTGCGAATTGGGCTAAATTTATTAAAATCTTTTGAGTATTTTCATGAAACAGTAAGTGTCACTAGTTTCTTCTGTCATCATTATAATCGAATGTTCAAATTTATGCTAAATTTTGATGATAGTTGAATAAGCTATACTCATTTTTGTTTCTTTGTCAAACGTTTGAATTTTTATTAGCCACATATCGAAGTAAAGCTAGCATTTAAAGTAAATGATTCTGTACAGTTATATTCGTTAGTATCGACAGATCGTCAGCAAAGCAGCTATAACGTAACACTTTGTTGGATTCATTAACCCCCACCATTAACTTTGTGCTCTGTTTACCAATTTAAGTTGGGGTATATGCGTCTTAGCCATGTAGTCAATTTCTTGTGATTTGTGTAAGATAAACCCCCAGTAGGGAAGAATATATGAGATACTACATGGAGATAGCTTAGCAGATGCATGTAGGTTCATTGCACTAGACAACAGGCTTCACCTATTGTATGAGGACTATCAAAAGCGTGCAAATAGTGCTTACCTCGACCTGTCAGCCGCTAGTCTCAAACTTACTACTGTGTAAAGAAGATGCTGTTTAGTCGATTGCCCTTGTCGAGAAGATTTCTATGAATAACACCGGTTGATACCGACTAGTTAACATTGTGGACGTTAGGTCAGCTAAAAGTAAGAAAGATAAAAAGAAATTTGAATAATTACTGGTGATAAACGTTACTCCAAGATGAGGTCTTTATGAGTGTTGATTTGATTCACTAAAATAGCCTACTTTAATTATTGAGGGCATCTGAAGCTACTGTACTGAATTAAGATTATTCGTATTTTTATACCTTTTTTATGTTTTCATCTCGTAATATTATGTTGTGTCCAGGACGATATAAGAGATGACAACTTGGTTAGCAGCAAATATGTGCATGTTTGTAAGTTGAATAAACTAATGGGAACTATTTAAGCCAGCTCAATCCCAAGAAATTCAGTAGTGGACATTGAGTGTGCAGGTTATGGTTAGTAAAGACAAACGTTTTGTGCATGCCTAAGACAACAGTTACTTCTGTTTTAAAAACGCTACTTATAACTTCAACAAAATAATATCAACGCTGTAATGGTACATTATACATCACTTAACTGTATACCCATATAGAATCGGTGTATTTACTCCATTTATTCATAAACTGTGAAGGTGAACTTCAGCTAGTTGTGCCTTAAGAATATTCGTTTTGATTCGACTATCTATAGTGTAGCTCAGGTTTATTTCGAAATTAATTTGATGATTGAATATCGTGCGTTATGAGTTCTTTGAGATATACTACGTGCATTGATTCCAACTGATGGGGTTCTTTACTCGAATAAAATATGAAATAAAGATGGAAAACAGCTATGTATGTAATCATTAATTATCCAGATGAAAACATCCAAAGTACCAAAGTAAAGTATCAAGTCAGGTGGTAGATGTTCCTTCTTGGTTGGTATATTACTGTTCATCAGCATTTGCTTCGTATTGTTGGCTTAGAGACTTGACTGTCAACTTGTGGAAATCAAGTTTGAATCTTAATCTATCCTACTGTTTTATGCTGTCAGCTTGTCATTAATAAGTATTCAGTGAAGTATACAAAATGCATGTTGTCTGTTAATCACCATTACGTTTCTTTTGTTTGGATTATGGAAAAGGCGATTATTGCATCAGGAATGTAATCTTTACTATGAACGTGAGTCATTGACTTTTGTCAGTAATCTTTACTTTGTGCTGGAATACGTAAAATCAGTGTAGCGGAATTTATTTGCTACACCTTCACATAAAATTGTATGTAGTATAGTTTTATTGACTGGTCACTAGACGACAGCCAATTTCATGTTGTTTAGTCTTCAGTGCTGACCGAATTCTATCTATCGTTCTGCAATATGGCCACCAAACTAGGAGGCTCACCATCGTTGTGCACCTCCTTCTGATTGCCTCCAACCAAGTAGCATAATATAGGCTGATATTACTGTTCACAGAATTGGCTTTCTGTAATATTTAACGTTTTAAAGTGATCTTGACACCTTTTTTCTGCAGTGGTGGAGAATATTTGTAGCTCAGGTGGATGGTCTTGGTTGTATTGTGTTCTCTAATCTGGGTTGTTTAAGACAATTAAACAACCCAGCTCAGAGAACGCAATACAACCAAGACTTTTTCCTGTCTTATCATAACGTTACCAAGGATATTGTATGCGCAATGTTTTTTCTCTCAAAAGATTTTCGAGGACTCAGTGGTACTGCAATCCGTATGGACTAATGCTAGAGAACGATTGGAAGAAATCGAATCACGGCAACAGTCCGATTCTCGTCAATCAAGCCACTACAACACTTATTCTAGTCAGCATCATAGACATGTAACCATAGATGATGAAGATGATGAAGAAGAACAAGAGGATGAAGATGAACCTAGTGAAACATCGAACATGCTCCAGTTTCCATGGGTCCTCGATTTAGTGTTCGCAACCCCTCAGCAACTGATGGAGCAGAAATCACGACGGGAAACGGTCAGCAGAATATCCCTGAAAATTCCGTGAATGAAGATAGTCTCGGAGGTTTAGACGATTTAGATGATGAAGAAGACACTATGGACGATCCTATGGAGGATGGTAAGCATTTATAGGTATTTCATTTTCATGGAAGGAGCTACATTAGTTGTAATATAGGACAGTTTATTGAGTTTTTTTTTTAGATAGGGAGATATTAGTGATATTTCATATTAAGATTCGGGCTGTATTTAGTTGGCTAACTGATTCACTGTCATGATAAAACTCATGCCGATCAGTTTATACACTAGAAAGTTTGGAAATACTATTTTTATGTGAGTCGCTAAGTATAGCAAATGAAGCTGTCGTGTTTGAATTTCAATGTACTGGGTTAGATGTTCAGTATGAATAACAGTGTTCTCCATGATGTATTCACACTGAAAAGACAAGTTCTAGACAGAACAGTATTTTCAGCTTTAATTTGATTTTTAGTCTTCATTAAACACTGTTATTATAAATTCAAGATAATTCCGAAGGGACTTTATACTTCATTTCAATAATATCTAAGAAAGAAGTGGTTTCAAATGCTGAAACTTGGAAAAAAAAAGAATATTTACAGATGCAGACGCAATTCTATTCATTTTATTGTAATCTATTCATGAAAGACATCGTCTGCTTGTCGTTTAGTGCTGTGTTCAACATTCACTAGATTTGAAAGACGTTTCTGAATGAATTGTATCTTTAAATATATTTGTTCATGCCGAATTCTGATTAGTGTCTATTGTTTTCTTTTTTATCTACTGATTAGATGATAGTGCTAGCCGTAGTTCGTTTAGTAGTAAGGCTAGACGTGCATCACGAAAGCCTACATATTGCATTTCACGTAGTACGAACAGTTCAGTATCTGTCATCTCAAAGGCGAACCTTCCACCTGGATCTCACAGTCATTCGCGTCCACTAGTTAATGCTGAGTCTGGGGAACCAGTCGTAGAGTCAATACGTATTAACACTTCCGGTACTGAGAATCTCCTACCACCGAGAAAGGCTCGTTCACATAAACGTGTAATGGTTGATGATAGTGAAGAAGAGGAAGACTCAGATAACGATGTGGGTGACGATGATCCTGATGATGAAGACTTTTAGGTTTTAATTTATATGTATCGTTTAGGTGAACTTTTTCTAGCAATTGTGTTTATCTTCATTCATTTTACTTGATGTTTTGCGCACGTTTCAGTGCTTGAGCTCTTCATGTAATTTATCAGCTTTCTCAGCACATACAAATTCACTTTCAGTTTTGTTCCCTTTATAATTTTTAGTTGGTTTATGATGCTAATTGATTCAAGGATAGTATTGATTTCAGGGCGTTTGTTTTTACACAAAGGTGTTTCATAATTACTGAGCTTCACGCAGTCAGACACATTTCATTTGTAATCGTGTAAAAGCTTATTGATCTGGATTTCCTATAGATAAACGTTTTGACCTCGTCTCACTCGTCTGATAGTTCATGAGGTAATGGATAGGTTAAGTATTTTTAGGTAGCGTATGAGAGAATCAGAAGTAGTCCTGTGATACTTGTCTACTTCACTGGCCACTCTAGAATATAAGAAGTGAGATAAGTCTTGTAACAACCGTAATGTGGATAGTTATCCAACGCCTAAGTGATACTTGTCTACTTCACTGGCCACTCTAGAATATAAGAAGTGAGATAAGTCTTGTAACAACCGTAATGTGGATAGTTATCCAACGCCTAAGTGAAACTGAAGAACAGTAAATCCGAGCAAATCAGGGAAATTCGAGGCCTGGATGAGGGTATGTCGATCGTATTTTGAACCGTCTGGTAGTGTTGGGTTGCAGGCATGAATACCAGTGGCCGAGACTTGCCACATTTCTTGACGTGAGTGTGGCATTTGTCTCTGTTGACCATGAGTTGGGTGGAAGAAGTGCTGGCGAGGTGGGTGCATGACTCTGATCACTCTGCCTTGTTAGTGCTTATGGGTAGTTGTCTTCTGAAATGATGACAACCTGAGGTGTCAGGCTGAGATGTTTGCTGTTTCCGTTCCTGTTGAACTTTCTTGAAAGTCTATTGATAGACATAACACTAAGTGCGACTGATTTCATAGCGCGTGAGCTAATCCGTAGAATGCATGTGTTTGATTTTTATTGCACAGACGCAACTGTTCACCTGAAGGAAGATACGCACAGCATTAAACGTATTTTCAAAGCCGTTGAGAAGAGATCCGGGCATTTTACCATGAGTACAGAAGCTGTAAAACGGAAAACAATAGATCAGTACACGTCAGCAGAAGCTCTTACTATCCGAAAAACGATTATACCAATAAGTGTGTCAATAAAGCGAGGCCCGCGTCCCTGTTAACACAGAAAAACAGTCAAACACAACCTCCACGCATATTATGCTTTAGTTGGGCCTCATTAAAGCAACCGTTATCCTTAAAATACTTCAGGTAACACTGCACACTAACATGCGACCTGTGCTACAAAGGCAAATGACGTCGAACACCAGAAGCCTCGTCATGTCCTCCTCCCTCATTGATCACGTCTCACAAACAGATAATAGAACACAGAGAACTACAACGTAGTACAAGCCACCCTTCATAGGCAGACAATCGCATATCACCGAGGCGCCATAACTGACGACAGTTGACCAACGTCAAGCCAGCCTTCGTATTTGTGCAGACACCTCCTCGATCACTGACCCATCATACCTGACTTCATCCCACTTACCAGCTGAGTCAATTGCTGCTCAACCACTTCACTCCGTGTTATTACGCGCAGCACCGACACACCACTGACTCCTCCAGCAACACTTCACATTTATTAGGTCTCAAACATTCTCAAATTACCACTCTAGGTGTCCACAAGACTCTCCATCTTGTCAGCGTCTTCACCTAACACACGACTGTGTCATTTACGTACTTTAGGTCTATCGTGGATTCTTCTGTGATAAGGTCAATCCCTGCGAAATCACGAGAGATTTTCACAAGCACATCTGTAAACTTCGGGATCAAAATTTGATATGATAGAGTTGAATAAGTTGAGCACTGGGTAATTGGATTATAAATGAAATATATTTTGTAGAATCCCATTGAAGTAGAAAAATAAATTTCTGACGTTTCGCGACTTCGTGGAAATCGCTTTTTCAGGAATAAAACCTGTACATTCACGTTCATATTGTCATCATGTATAGGCAATGTGAGCTGATTCGTCACCTTTTACTATTTAAACTATTCGATAACTTGTACAGGTTTTATTCTCTGAAGAAGCGATTTCTATGAAGTCGCGAAACGTCAGAAATTTTTCTACTTCATTGGAATTTTATAAAATATATTTCATTTATAAGTACATCTGTTGAAAAATTGAATACGAATGGAGTGTGGGCAACCCTAACAGATATCATTGAACGTATAAAAGTCACTGTCAGCTCTAATATACCAAGCGTGTTCAAGCACGGGCCTTTCGACAGAGTAATGTATTTACTTTGCACCCGCTTTATTGCCTCAAGACCTCTCGAGCGACTGAGGTGGATGTTGCCTCCAGGTCCAAAAATACATCCACTATCCGGTAGCCTGTGTTCCAGAATCTGTCAGAGTGTGAATGCCTGGTGGATGCACGCGTGGCCGAGTTTGAAGTCTACTTACCTGATTTTCTCGGGTTTCGCTGTTACTAAGCTCCATTCAGACCTCTGATGTTTACAGAACTTATACACCATTTTCGTCAGGCTGATATGACTAATAATTGTTTACCACCGTCCTTAGATAACTCTGGTACTAGTACGTTGTTTCATGTTATCTACAGCTTTCTCAACTTCTGTAGGTTTTAGGGTCCCATCTCAATGTTCCTTTCTTCAGTATACGATGAGATAGCAACCAACGGAATAGCAACTAGTGACCAGTTGAACTGTTTCTCAAAGTGGTCCGCCCATCGTTCCAGTCGTCTGTGCTGCGAGAGAATTACAAATCCATACTTCGCCATTGTCTCACTTACCACCGACCTTTATGCTCTTAGTAACTGTTCAGTGTTACGTATTGTTATGGCTCCAAACTGCTAATGATCCACGGATATCCACTGTCAGCCATCAACGTTCTTCAGCATCTTAGTTGATTCTTTACCCGAATAACTAATAGATAAGACATAGTGAGACTTTTGGGAATAGATCGAAGATCCGAGTAATTATCGAAAAGAGATATCAAGATTATACACAACACCTGGTGTTTAAAAATAAGGATATTGATTGATTGTTTGCCAGTCTAACTGTAGACGTAATAAAGATGGTAAATTCTGGCCGGTCCCATTCCGGATTAGTCTGTTCTACCCAACTACAAGTGAATCGCAGGCCCATTTTATAGTATCGTTAATCCCTGTTCCTTGTTGTCGAAACAACTTCTAGTGTTGCAGGTCGCTATTTGCTGCCTTTTCCATCCGTTTAGCCTTCACTACCGATCACTTCACAGTCATTATGTAAGACGTTTGTCAGTCCACGTCAGAGTTGCACTCGCCCCTCCTTGTACTCCGAGCCTGCTGGTATGCGCTTGGGTGCATCTATTTTTTCAGAAGAAGCAGTTGAGATCTGTCTCTTTCTAACCACCCTCTAAAATTTGATTACCGTTTTCAACGCTAATTTGCGACAGACTGGAAATGTCACCAAGCTTCTTCCGAATGAAACCCGTTGTTCTGTTCTGATAACTATCGAGCTAGCTTCTCACTGGTCGCGGGATTAGTGCTCTCATTGTCGAGTTGTACTCACAATGGTCTTGTTGCCAGTGTTTCTTAGGTCCATTTCGAAGCAGACATACGCGTGCCAGAAATAACGGGAGGTCAATTTCAAATACGTGTTCCAAAAGGAACAGCAGTCTTCCACGGACCCTCTTCAGCAATGACTGCCAGCATTGCGGTCTTACTTTGTCCACTGCTATCTTGGTAACGGTAAATATTATGTCAGATAATGACCCCGTTCTTATCTGAAGTGAATGGCTGTCTGAGCTGAAATGTAGCAGGCGATATCCGTTGCTTGTCTGTTCGACTGGGACTCTGGAAGTGCCTTTTTGCCTGACTTATCCTGTCCACTTTTTGCACGGAAGTCACCTCGAACGAAGTATAAATTGTTTCAGATTATTGACCGAGAGACGTGTAATAACAGTAGAAGTTAGGGATATGGACAGTGGTGTGTCGTAACTTGAGTGGTGAGAGTTTTGAGAGTGATTGACACTTTTGGGTTGCCTACACCGTGGAAGGCCCCGTCTTCGTAAGGTACCTGACTACTGATTGCGATGATTGCTGGTTCGACTTAGTGGGAACACTACCACTCACTCAGACTTACGTACAACCAAATTATGAGTCCAAATTGTGATGAAACGCGCACCGCGAATTCCACTGCTAGTCAACACCAAGCAATTTACGTATAGTTTATTTTATCTTTCACTTATATAGTAAAATACAGATGTATGGAACACAATACCTAACATTTCTGTACGGGTCCTATTTGGTACGCTGTACATCAAGGAGAAGTAGGAAGTTACCAAGAGGTGGTAGATACCTTTTAGGACTTTTGAGTTATAGGGCAGCGAAAAGTAGGTAACGAAAACTAGTATGTGGTATAAGAACTGAGTAGTATTCGGTGTGCAAAATGCTTTCCTAATTATTTCTGCTGTCACTTCATCCTCGATATCCTTCATATACCTTCGCGAAAATGATTCAAAATAGAAGTCATTTTTCACGAATTGGTAACCTAAGCTGTTGTCAAGTACTCAGCTGTTATCGTGGCCTACCGATCAGGTTTGCTACGTGGTCATCGAGCGAAGTGACACGTAAATGTGGTACTGTGTTCGGTACTATATACGGTCACCGTGTTATCAAGTGTCCTCAACCAACTTATTCCTATCATCTCGACAACCCTAACCATGTAGTCTACACACACATCTAAGTTTAATAATCGGAGACTTCATGGACTGATGGAACGCTTCAGTCTCTCTACCCTGATCCCTCTTCCAAATCAATCCAACTTTTAGCACTGCGCTTCTAGGAAGGTGGCGATTCGGCTTATGCAACACATGTCCAAACCTCCACAGTCGCTGATGGTTTGCAAATTTACCAACGGATTTGCCTCCCATGCCTATAATTCTGGCTTA